AATAGTACTTTGGTTTGCTTCAAAACCTCTAAATGTCATAAGATGGAGCTGTTGTGCAAAAGCCTACAATTTTTATCTGGTTATATCTGATAACAGTATATGATGCCATAATGTATTATAGTTAAGGTAAATTATGGGTGTCAAATTCGCCATGTCACGTGATATGTTGTGGCGTATTGCGGCTTTTTTTACATAGCCGGAGTGGGGTGGGCGCAGCTCTGTATGATGCAACCAGCCCATGGGCTGGTAGTTTGACACCCCAGAGGTAAATGGTGTTCATACCTGTAGCTGTACATATAAAAACAAAGGTACGTATAGAAGTAGAATGATTATTTGAAAAAGAATATGTTCAAATTCAGATTTTTGTCTGCAGTGGCATAACATATTACATAGTTTTATATATATAAGTAAACTTGATATTACAGAAGCAGTAAAATAGTTTGATGAAACAAAACATACCTCTGGTATTACAAGTTAGAGTTCTGAACTACTACACAGATTTTAGACAGAAACTTATTGATACTAATTTTCTAGCATGTAATTAGGAAGATCTTTCCTGTAATTAATTGTGAAGTACAAATTGAGCTTGTCATAAATCTATGCTAATACAAATGGTAACCAAATTATTGGCTGTGCTATTATGTCAAATGAGCAACTACTAAAAGAATACAGAATTAAATTTGGAATGCTATACATTTTTTAAAAAAAACTATAAAACTAAATCTGAAAATTCACACTATGAGTGTGAAGCAATAAAATTTTTTCTCATGCTAAATTGTGAAACAGTAACTTGAAAGCATTTTTCAAATATATTTTGGTAGAGAAAAGAGTATTTTGAAATATATTCACAATGGCCATACTTTTTAAAAATGTTTTTATTATTTTAGGCATACTTCTTACACTCCTGTAATTACTTCCAGTGCAAAATTTGGTCTCTCCAAACTTAAGTTAGTAAAAACTAGAAAAAATTTACAGATTCTTCAGAAGAAATTATTTGGAATGCAAAGAATATTTTTATAGGAGCGTTTTTGAAATTGTTAAAGCTGATACTTCTTTCAGGCTTATTGTATAAGATTGCTTTCCAAGCTTTCTGCATGTTGCATTTCTGTGTGTGGTGAATCACCTCCATTGAAAGGTTTACATAACTAATGCATGAAAGGATTATGACCATATCAACACAAACTGCTACACCACTATTGATAGTTCAGAAGCAAAAAGACATTTTTATTATTATTGAAATAGACATTCATTAGGAAACAAGTTGGTGGTAGTTTCTAAGTTGACTGATTTCAAGACAGCCTGTGGCTATCGCTTTCCATCTGCTTAGTGCAGAGAAAGACTATAGAATAGAGCAGTGTTTCTCAACCTTGATAATTTTAAGGCATGTGGACTTCAACTCCCAGAATTCCACAGCCAGCAATGCTGGCTGTGGAATTCTGGGAGTTGAAGTCCACATGCCTTAAAATTGTCAAGGTTGAGAAACACTGGAATAGAGCTTCCCTTTTGGAAACTTAAAATAGCTATAATGCTTCTTGTTTCAGTGCTATCCTCTTTTAAAATTATATTTAGCTTAATTCTTCCTAGGAATTTATTTTGTCCAATATTCTTGACCAAGACCTGCTATAACACTATGAAAATGATTACATGCCATCAAGTTGTTTTCAACGCATAGCAACTACATAAATTTTCTCTATGACAATCTGTCTCTAATCTGTTCTTTCAAGTCTCCCAAGTCTCTTACATTGCCATTGTAAGACTTAGGCACCTTGCTGCTGGTTGTCTTCTTCTGCTCTGTCTTCTCATAATGTATCTGCAGAAGGATAATTTGAGCCTGGTGATTTGTGCTGAGTGAGAACTGTGGGTTGATTTGTTCAATGATACATCAGATTGTTTTTTTGGGTGTCCGCAGCATTCTCAGGAGTCTCTGTCTGCCTGTCTATAATATATAGATAGTCCTCATTTAGGGACCATTTATAGTTCCATTGTAACTTGTTACAATGGCACTCATATCCTTACATTATAACCTTTGCAGGTCTGTAAAGCAAAGTAAGTAAGTAGAAAGAAAGATCATGAGCACAGTCACGGTTTTCTTTAGTGACAGCTTTGTTTAATTGTCGTTAAATGAGGACTACCATTACTTGAAGGTTAATGTATTATGTTTATGTTGAGTTTTCTAATTTTTTAAAAAAATTTGGACAGTAGTTCTATTTGCTGGTTTGTTTCAGGCAGAAAAATGATAGGAGTCTGCTATCTTTGTAAATGTAACAAAACATTCCCGATATTACTTTCATTTCCCAAAAACAAAAAATAAAGTGTTTGCTGTGCATGAGATATTGTGTAAAGTATTGTAAAGTACAGCAGTTTCATAAAATTCAAAACAATTGATAAACATAATAAAATAATGCCTTTTATTAATAAAAGTAGTTTTCAAAAAAGTGCCCATTTTGTTTTCTGTAATATATAGGATCCAGGGTTGGACATAAAATACATTAAAGTTTTACAATCCCTGGAGCAGACAGTAAGTTTCATTTTTGAAGCATGCAGCATAGGTATGTGTATATGTAATAGGTATTTTAATGCATCTGTCTTTTAGTTGTGTATAAAATTGCTAATTCCTGGTTCCATTTGTGTATATTTTCTAGAATTGGGTGGCTTTTAATTAAGGTTTCAAAGAAACCGTAGGGAAAATATACTTCGAGTATTGATTATTTTGAGTTATTTCTACCCTGCCAAGCTGTCTGAATAATGATGAATTGTGCAGGTAGTGATCATTACTGCAGTTGATGTCTTCATAAATCAGTAGCATCAGCTAAGATGTCCCACTTCTAATGATTAATTGCTTCTTTGTCAGTGCAGGAATTAGCTAGAGAGTCACCTTGGAGCCATGACCTCTGTCCTCTTCACTCTGTAACAGTAAATTTAAGCCTAGGAATACCATTGTACTGAGACTTTGATTTGATGGTTTTGAAAAATACAGTGTACTTCGCTCTTGGCCTGAACCAAATCTACAGGGAGTATATACTAGTTCAGACAGCTGGAGTACCAAACAGTGGAAATTATAATATTTAACCTTATTTTCATTCTTATTAAACAAGAGTAACTATAAGAAGATTGATTCATTAGAATAGTGCAGGAGTAAAATAGTTTAACTCTGGATATAACTCTTCTTTTGTAATTTTCTTATGAGTTTTGGAACAGCAATAGCCCAAATCAGTCCATTGTAGAATAAAGGCCTTTTCAGAATTTTATAACTACTTCAACATACTACAAGTTGTTTTCAATTAATATCTTTGCAACTGAGATATTATCATTTGCTGCATTTCTTTGGACATTTTGGATGTTTTAAAGTTGTGTGATATTCAGGCAAGGGTTGTTGTTACCTGGTTTTAGTTAGTTCCTTGTACAGTGTAGCCAGCTCATGGCTATTTCAGAGACGCTAGCTGCTTCCTCAAGTCCTATATGCCTGTCCATTGGCCAATCCATTTATTTCTTCTTTTGTCATGTTGATATCTTAAACATATTTTGCGCATTTACCATTCTAGGTTTCTCTGTGTAACTATTTTTGCATTTATGAATAAAATATGTGCAATTGTATTAAAGCTTATGTGCATGGAAAGTAAAATTATCTATTTTATTTCTGTGATAATAATAGTTGATACCAGGGGAACAGATTAACTTTGTGTTTTTTAAAAAATAGTAATGTGCATATAGTTTCCTATTTAATTTCTTATGAAGTGGCAACATAGGAATAGTAAATTCAGAGAGTAATGTTTTTAATGTATTCTTTTCAGAAAAGAAGATTCAAAGTACATTCAAGTACATTCACTATTTTAGCTATGCTTTGATTTTTTTTAAGGATAGTAAAGAATGAGATCTCCTGCATACCTACATACCGAGCAATTATAAGCACTAAAATACTTTTATTCATAAATAAATTTTAGTGATAAATGCAAAATTTTAAAAATCCTAAATGCTTCCATTTTATTACATTAAAAATAGTATTATGCTTAAATATTGCCAACTGTTTGATTTCCATATTTTTGTTTGTTTGTTTTGGAGCCATCAGTATGCCTTCCTGGACCCCATATGAAATGGTGAGTATTGCCGTTACTATATAAAGAGAGCAAGAATTGTGATTTGGATTAATAAATGCATTTGAAAAGTTGAGTACATATTTCCGGAAGATTTAAATTACACAAATGCTTGTTTTATTTTTTTCCCTTTGAAATAAAGAACAAATATAATTGCAAATGAGTACTAAAATGGGAAATATTTTAATACATTTTTTTATTTACGGGATACATTTTTTATCGCTGGCATAGTGATGATTTTTTTTTGCCGTTTACCCATCTGAATATGTGATGTGTATTTCCAATTCTGAGATGCCAGTAAAGCTTTAATTATACCATGTAAAATATTTGCTTAAGACATTTAGATACTGTATATTAAGATGTCTTTTTAAAGTGATTTAATTGGCATATTTCCTCAAATAGTCATGAACTGCTGTTCAGAATTTGAGAGTTTTATATTTAAAAACTACTTATTAGTTTGAAATGATTGCAAACGTCACATGAATTTAAGAATTTGGGTGGTTTTTTTTTTTTGTAAAAAAATGCAAATCTGATTAAAAGTTAAAATGAGTGAACTATTTAGATGACTAGAGTAATTGCATCTTGAATGCTAAATGATGGTGGCCAAAATGATTGAAATTTTGTATTTAAAATATTTTATTACAACATTGAACTTAAATGTGTTTAATTTAAGTTTAATAAAAAAAAACACTTGTGTTATTCGAGATAGTTATCTTTCCTGAAAATTCCAAACATTTGCAAACTTGAAAATAGTTTTATCTAATTTGGAAACAAAAATAACAACTTTAATGAACAACTTTTATTTAATATATTACCTTAATATAAGAATGCGATTTGCTGCTATTTAATGTGATATACTAATTTCCCTATTTCTCTGCAGGTTATGACAAGACAAATGGGGAGTGATCATTTTCCAGTATGAAATTAATTTTGAACAAATTTTTTAGTTTGATGTTGATGTAGTTGTAAAGTACCATATATGCCGGCGTATTAGGCGACCCGGCGTATAAGACGACCCCCGTCTTTATAGCCGGGCCGCATTCCTAGAACGTCGTCTTATACGCCGGAAACTACCAGTATTTCCGGCGTATAAGACGACTCGGCGTATAAGACGACCCCGTCTTTGGCGCCGATTTCAGCACTCGCAGAAGTCGTCTTATACGCCGGCATTGACGGTATGTTTTTCATTATATTTTTTTCTCAAGATTTCCTGGAAAGAATAACTTTTTTTCAGTTAGCTTGTTTGAAAACTTTCAGAATTTTTCTTGTTTCTGCATGAAGATTGGGTGAGGAAGGCAGACTTGCCATGATAGATAACATGGTTCTATAAAGACTATTTTCCTACATTTTTGTAAAATCCAATCTGGCAACCATGCTTGACTTGTGTATGTGTATATCTTTGTTTTTAATGTTATTGTAAACCTTACCACTGAATCAAATCTAAGTCTTTGCTGATGAACTGTCGTTTATTTATATCATGTGGGAGAATGAATTTCAGCCTGTATATTTTTGAATCCCATTAAATTTTCATTTCTTGTTTTATATTATAGAATGTGATACTGATTTTTTGGGGTGAGAGTAAAATCCTGTGTGAGGAATTTGAATGCAATTTCATTAACAGAAAATTTGATGAGACAACTAAAACAAATGTACCTATTTTACTATGCTTGTTATAACATCCAAAATAAGAAAAATCCAATATGGTATAGGAAAAAACTACTATTGTACAACAAGAATAAAATGTTAGTTAGCTTTAGCTGAAATACAAGACTTTAAAAAAAGTTTGGACATGACGAGTCATTATAGCATTAACGTATTCCATTATATAACTTGGAAGCGCACCGATAGGCTAGATGAATGAATTAATTTTCCTGAGAATTGGATTCAATATTGTGTATTGCTAAATCTCACTGCTGAGAATATGTGTCACAGGCCCATATGTAGCAATGAACTGTTTCAATTGTTGGTGGTATTCCATCAAGTAAATATCCCTTTGATTCAGGGAGTTCTCAGAATTGAGTTCAAATGGAAAAAGTGCATTAGGAGCCACGCAAAATACAGACGCACCTGTGTAAAGAAAATCAATTAATGTTTAAATTAATTTAAAATTTAAAATCACAAGTTTGTCTAGGAATTTGTTTTTGAGCATAAATTTGCAAAAGCAAATTATAAAATTGTTATTTGAAAAGTTGCTATAGTTAAATATTCTTTCATATATGAAATATAATTGCACAATAAGCCTTTTAGAAATATGCCTTTCTATTAATCTTTAAAATTATCTACATTCTCTACCCTAATATCAATCTATGTAATAGATCAGTGGTTCTCAACCTTTTTAATGCCACGACCCCCAACCGGTCGTAAGTCGAGGACTACTCAACTGGTCGTAAGTCAAGGAGTACTCAACCAGTCGTAAGTCAAGGACTACTCAACTGGTGCAGCACCGTTTGCAGAATGGGACTTTTGGCGGGCTCAGCAGGGCAGAGACAGCCTGGACAATTCCTATTGGCTTTTGAAAGCCAATAGAATTAGACTCTATTCAAGAGAGTCTATTCTATTGGCTTTCAAAGGCAATAGAATAAAAGGGAGTAGCACAGCTAAGGAAGAGGGGGAGAAAATGGCGGACTGCGTTGTTTGGCAACCCCCGTGAAATGGTCGTTCGACCTCAAATGGGGTCCCGACCCACAAGTTGAGAACCATTGTAATAGAACAATTCAGACAACTAATACGATCCAAGCTGTCTGATCTGCAACCTATTACTTAGAAGAGAGGATACCAGAGAGAGAAGTAGTGACATCCCCTCTTGGGTTGGGATTATCCCCTAGGGCAGTGTTTCCCAAACTTGACAATTTTAAGGCATGAGGACTTCAACTCCCAGAATTCCACAGCCAGCAACGCTGGCTGTGGAATTCTGGGAGTTGAAGTCCACATGCCTTAAAATTGTCAAGTTTGGGAAACACTGCCCTAGGGAATGTTTTTCATTAGAAAAAAGGTTCCAAATCATGCCTTAAAGAAACATTATTTAAAAAGTTGTAATATGGATTACATAGTACCTGGAAATGGAAATTTATTCTAACCACTGAATGAAAGTTATCCTAATGCTTGATGATTCAAATTTTTACATTTGCTCAATTTCCTATGTCATTAATTTGGAAAGTGATTACTTATATAACTATACTTAATAATATGAACATTTATTTACTTTCTACCTCAAGAATAGGAACTCAATAGCTATTCAAATGCTGAAGTATTACAGGTTTCATTAAGTTTAGCAATCTCCCATCCCTAAAAAAAAACCCCACACATAACAAGCAATTTTGAATCAGTTCTGAAAATTGAAGGTAAATAGTAAAATATCTCCTATTACTTTTCAATAACATTATTTCAGCCTATTCATAAGAGGAAAGAAAACAGAAATCTCATTAGCATTGCCTGCTATTTGGGATCTTTGGCCTTGTGTGTTCAACTATATGAATGAAGTCTCCTGTTGAGGATCTTGTGTGATCTAACTTGGACTTATGAGCAATTACTTGGCTTAATTTTTTTACCATATTTTAAAGTAAGAGATGATTCAAATAATAACACTGCAATTAAAACATCTTGTTCGAGTACTTTTGTCCTTAGTCTCAGCTTAGCATGTGCTTTAGACAGCGAAATCCTACAAACAAAAATATAACTTTTAAATGCATTGTACAACATTTCAGATGATTAATTTTCTCATTGAAAATCTTGTTTTTATGATCCTCTTCCAACATGTACCTAAATAAATATAGCTACTATTTCATCTTTCTCCCTCCCTCCATATATATTGGAATATTGTACTGAATATTACCATTGCTGAACAAAAACTATATTTATAAACTGATAAAGTATTAATATGTCTAAAAAGTGGCTTTTTTAAAGGTAATCTTCATTTTTTTAGGAAATTATGGATAGGAAAAATCCAGGCGTCTACTCTGATCACTAGCAGAACATCTTGCAATAAAAATTACTCATTTGCTTGGACTTACATACCCAGTGGGCAGAATCTAAACAGCTACTAGGGAAAAACAGCTAACAATGCTATCTGAGAAGACAGTGAATATGTGGATCCTCAGAATGGACAGTCTTCCAGAAAGGAGCTATACCCGCTATTGGCTTATATATGTGCTGCCAGGGAAGGAGAGGAAGCTAGGTCATGGTGGATGTGAATATCTCATTGCAGAAGGGGAAAATGCCAATATCTCTGAAGAAGGCATTGGTAATAATTATTATTATGTGATACATTTGATAATTTTGAATTACGGCAAGGTATCCTATCGTATGTTTTACTGTAAGCCTCTTAAGACCTGCATGACTAAAGTAGCATAGAAAAATTACTAATACATTAGAATTCAAATTTAGATTATGCTTAAAATTCTTTTTCACTATCTCTATATTATTTTACAAAACGTATATAAAAGCTCAGATTTGTATAGTATTAATAAAAATATGTACAGTTGACTCAAGTCAGTCTTATCAAGAAAGCTACTCTTGTGAAAAGATCATTCTCATAGTCGATATCACATAAAGGTACGTAGGTATATATGGAAGCAGAAGATTTAGCTTAGCACTGAGTTATAAGTAATTCTCAACTTAAAGCAGTTCATTTAGTGGAAAAAGTGATTTATGACCATTTTTGACACAACCTTTGTAGCAGCCCCATGATCATGGTAATGCTTGGTAATGCATGATGCTTGGTAATTCATACTTATGACCGTTGCTGTGTCCCAGAGTTATGGGATCATCTTTTGCAACTTTCTGACAAGCAAAGTCAGTGGGAAAATTCACTTAACAACTATGTTACTAACCTACCAACTGCAGTGATTCAATATTTAATTTGCAGGTGTCAACTTACAAGATTTTTAGTGAAGTTGCTGAGAGATTAGGTCCATTTGTGAGTTGTGTTCTGACTCTTCGACTTGCTAGATAGTAGCCATGAATTAATCTTTCTGCTTCTGGACATAATTCTACATGCAAATTCTTTGAAAAAGCAAGAAACTGAAATGACAGTATAAATTATAATATTTAATGAAAAAGCACCCATATATTTAATGTATATTTAATAATTAAAGTATTAATATTTTAATAAAATGTTTTAATTAAAAAGTTGTTTCTCTTTAGTTATAATTTCTAAAACTACTTACTTCCTCATAATCTTGGGTTTGAAATTGTTGGGCGATAGAATAAATCTCTTCTGAATTAAGAGATTTTTTTAAAATGAAATTGGTAACAGGAAATGGAGAATGACAACATGATGCTTCATTGCAGTATATCAACAGTCCAAAGGCATCTATAAGAGTAGCTGAAATCAGGCTTAAGTCCTAATTTTAAAAAGTAATTTAGAATAGAATTTTAACATTTTAAAAATAAAGATTCTAAAAATGCAAGGCTCAATGTTTTTCAAAAAAGGTTGGGAAGGGAGCATTCAGAATAACACTTGGTGCACTTATATTTGCTATGGCAGTAATTTCTTGGATACTTTTTATGCTGTTATACCATGATTTTTACCTAATTTGTTTATAGTATTTGCATGATACTAAGTGTTATAGAATGATGAAAATATTTATTGACTGGGAAAATTAACATGTTTTAGAAAATTACTGCTAAATTGGTATTTTCTCTATAGTGCCTATCTTTTCTGAAAGATATTACTGTTCCTAATCAATATTGTGCAATTACTGTTCTAAATATAGACTCACCAACTGACCAATTACAGTATTATCCAGTTGTATATGCTTTTTTGAAGATGAATCCACATCAATAAATGACCAGAAACTTGTTTGAATTGGAAAAATAACTTGCTGATCAGTACTTTCTCCATATTTCTTTCCTGGAATGAATTTAGTAATTGTCCTGCTCTCTAGTACTAATTAAAACAGCAAGAAGAAAAATGCTACTTAAAATATGGTGGTTTATATAATTTACTTTACCATATGTATTAAATCATTGCTTTTAAAGGAACTTGGATATGAATTGCATATTTTCCAATTATAGAAATGCTTTTTCTATAATGCTCCTATCTTTCAAAGGTATAACCCAAAAAGTTTATATGGATTGGATCCAGACTGTCTCTTGATGAATAGAAGAATTCATTCTATTTATTAAACGAACCAACATTGAATGGAGGGCTTCTGTTGAAGAAAGTTGGTATTTTGCATTCTATTTCAGATAATTCAGCAAGTATTTAAGGGATTATTTTGGTAGTGAAAATACCAATCTCTACAAGTGAAAATCATCTTAAACCTGGTCTGCTGGAACTGCCAGAATCTGGAGAAAACAAGATTAGTTTAGACTTCCTTTTGAACTACTATATATGTAGTTTTATTTGTATATTTATGTATCAGGCCATGGAGCTTGCCATTTTTCTGTGACTTTCACCAATGTATTTCATTATTGTTAACAGTATTTTGCAATACTATTAAATTAGGATATAGCACAATAAAAAAATCACAATACAGACATATCCTTCATGCAATAAATGTCAAGGTCAATTCTTGGTTTTAAAATAAAAACAAATAATATGAAAGAACTCTGCCTCATACCCTGAAGACCTTGTCAGCCAGACATGCAGTAACAATTTTAGGTGCTACGGTGATCCAACATGAAAACCCAGTCACAATCTCCAGTTGTCTTGAGATCTCACAAAAATCACTAAATCGTGAGATTTCAGTGATTTGTGTTTGAAATATTCTGCATGTTTTATATGGGGCATTACCAGTATTGTTTCCAGGATATACAGACATCCAAGTATCTGAAGATGTCATGTACCAGACTGAAAAATTGGTATAAAGCAGATTACTATATTTTTAAGAGTGCTGCAGAAAGGCATTCCTAGGTCTATGAAGACTTATGTATACAGTGGGGCAAAAAAGTATTTAGTCAGCCACCAATTGTGCAAGTTCTCCCACATAAAAAGATGAGAGGCCTGTAATTGTCATCATAGGTAGACCTCAACTGTGAGAGACAAAATGAGAAAACAAATCCAGACAATCACATTGTTTGATTTGGAAAGAATTTATTTGCAAATTATGGTGGAAAATAAGTATGTGGTCAATATCAAAAGTTCATCTCAATACTTTGTTATATATCCTTTGTTGGCAATGACAGAGGTCAAACCTTTTCTGTAAGTCTTCACAAGGTTGGCACACACTGTTGCTGGTATGTTGGCCCATTCCTCCATGCAGATCTCCTCTAGAGCAGTGATTTTTGAAGCTGTCGCTGGGCAACACGGACTTTCAACTCCCTCCAAAGGTTTTCTATGGGGTTGAGATCTGGAGACTGGCTAGGCCACTCCAGGACCTTGAAATGCTTCTTATGAAGCCACTCCTTCGTTGCCCGGGTGGTGTGTTTGGGATCATTGTCATGCTTTGACATTCTACCAATCCTCTTCTGGATCATCCAAATGCTCTCTAGCAAACTTCAGATGGGCCCGGACATGTACTGGCTTAAGCAGGGGGACACGTCTGGCACTGCAGTATCTGAGTCCCTGGTGGCGTAGTGTTACTGATGGTTGCCTTTGTTGCGTTGGTCCCAGCTGTCTGCAGGTCATTCACTAGGTCCCCCCGTGTGATTCTGGGATTTTTGCTCACCGTTCTTGTGATCATGTTGACCCCACGGGGTGAGATCTTGTGTGGAGACCCAGATCGAGGGAGATTATCAATGGTCTTGTATGTCTTTCATTTTCTAATTATTGTTCCCATAGTTGATTTCTTCACACCAAGCTGCTTGCCTATTGCAGGTTCAGTCTTCCCAGCCTGGCACAGGTCTACAATTTTGTTTCGGGTGTCCTTCGACAGCTCTTTGGTCTTCACCATAGTGGAGTTTGGAGTGTGACTGTTTGAGGTTGTGGACAGGTGTCTTTTATACTGATAACAAGTTCAAACAGGTGCCATTAATACAGGTAATGAGTGGAGGACAGAGGAGCCTCTTAAAGCAGAAGTTACAGGTCTGAGAGAGCCAGAAATCTTGCTTGTTTGTAGGTGACCAAATACTTATTTTCTGCCATAATTTGCAAATAAATTCTTTCCAAATCAGACAATGTGATTCTCTGGATTTGTTTTCTCATTTTGTCTCTCATAGTTGAGGTCTTCCTATGATGACAACTACAGGCCTCTCTCATCTTTTTAAGTGGGAGAACTTGCACAATTGGTGGCTGACTAAATACTTTTTTGACCCACTGTATATCCATTCTTGCAACCAGAATATAGTGAAATGAACATACAGCATCATATTCCTAAGGAAATTTTACATACAGCTTTGTAATAGAAAATTATTGATTGCACAGCATTAAAATTGACTGGTATAGAAATATCTCTGGTGGTAAAAATAATTTCTCTGGGATTTCAAAGCTGTAAGGCAATCTAGCAGAAATATTTAAACTTATCCTTGGTCTTACAAATACTTGCTAACTGCCGTACCTGTTTGTAGTTGTTCAAGTTTCTCTTTCTTATATGAAGTCAGCTCCCCAATGAAGCATATTCCATTTTTAGCCATTAAAGCACTACCAGCCTGAATAATAGCAGTTCCGGTCCCATGTTTATCTTTTGATACAGTTGGAAAAACTTCACCGGATGGAAAGTGCCGAATGCCTCGGGGCACAAGACATATACTATAATTCATAATTCTAGATGATTGAGGAAAATAGATAATTCACTAATGAATTTGCAGTATTTTAGGTAAATAAATTTAAAGATATATTTCACCATGGCATTGAATTTCAGTTGAATAAATATGCAGAAAAAGGGGTTATATGTGTAATTCAGATTATTGCAACATCAGTTATTGATGATACAATAAAAACAGAATAGGTTGCTAAATTAAACTCTCTCTCTCTCTCTCTCTCTCTCTCTCTCTCTCTCTCTCTCTCTCTCTCTCTCTCTCTCTCTCTCTCTCTCTGTGTGTGTGTGTGTGTGTATGAATGAGTGTGTGTGCATGCTTTCCTACTGGGGAAAGCTAATAACAACAACCTCTCCATTAAGATAAAGAATAATTACCTCTCCAGTATAAGAGAATCATTTGTTATTACCAGAAGATCTAAGTAGTCTGCTGTTTTGTCATCTCCATCAATAGTTTGTACTAAGCTCAACAATATAGCCAATTTCAGAGTATTATAAATGCCCGATGGAAGAACTTTTGAAGCAAAGCTTTCAGCCAGAAGTGCTGTAAATTTCCAACATGAATTTGAAGTCAAAGAAAGCAGGTACTTAAATTTTTCACTGATACAAGAAAGCCCTGATGCAAACAAAGAAAAACAAGATACATACTTTAACATCTACAAGGATGAAATTTGGAGATTGGTAAAGGTAGATATAAGTGAAAGTGCTGATACCAGCAGAACAAAACTCTGGATTCAATTCATTGTACATACATCAGGAAATAATATAAACAAATAGTACTAAAGGAAAATCAGGTTCCAAAATCCTAGTTCAAAAGGGAGATAAATTCTTGAACTCTAGTAAGAAAACGAGTGGATCTCAAAGAAAAAAGCAAAAAAATTTTTAGGTATAATTGCCTATTTGTTTTTTAAGATAATATTAGGAATAGGGATACTTGGTTCTGAAACTAAAGTTCATGTTAACCATACCTCTTCCAGTCCAAAACAAGAAATTTAATGTTATTTAGTCATAATTTTTTATTCTTTCCAATCCAATGAAAATAAATTTTGAAACGAGCCCTGAACACAATGCGATCAACTTTTGTGAAGGGAAGAATCTGATAAAAGAAAAACCTGAGTTTAAAAATAGATCAAACTCTGGTCTGCAGAAAAAAAAACCCAGTGCATCTCTACTGGAAGGGCAGTGGAGCAATGTCTCATAATGTTGCCAACTGTTCCCATTGCATAGCCCCTCCCTCCTGCTGCCTACATGATCCAGGATGGATGGATAATGTGCCATGAAATCAATGTCAACTTTTAGCTGACCCAGAGGAGAATTATTACTAAAGATGTGAAAAGAATTCTAGAAGCCATGCTCTGCATGCTTTCTCTACCTTGTTATTCTTTCTCAGGAACTTTTGGCTCCTGAGCTCACCAGGGATTACTCTCCCTACCTCTCTTATAGAGATTGAATGTCCTGAAAATGAAAATATATTTTTTTCACAACAAATATATTAAATAAAGCAGTAATTTTCAAACCTTTTGATTTTAGTACCTGTCTTAAAAATGTTTATAGACCCCAAAAAGGTGGGTTATATCTATCAGTATTTACTGTATTAGAAATTAAAACAAGACAATTTAAAATATTTATATATTTGTCTTATGTTCCCCCTAAAAGGGACTCAGGGACTCTCAGAAGTCCCTAGATCACATTTTGAGAAATGCTGAAGTAGAAAAAGATTGGGATGAAAAGAAAGACAATTGCATTTCAGTCACCTATTATATTGTCTACTTTCACTGGCCTTTTTTCCTACCTGTAGAATTAGAAGGATATATGTTGTTAGCTTCAAGACAAAGTGTGGCTTGTAAACAGCTTTGCATATAGACTGGAATTCCTATAACTTTATATTGATTTCCCATTTTCATTTTATTGGATAATTCATCTGGGAAAAATACAAATAAGCAGGTGAGGATTTTTTATTGGGCAGAATAATTCTAGGGATTCATACTCATATCCCTCCAACAATGTGAAGATATCTTAAGAATCATTTTTAAAATAAATATTTTATTTCCAAAGTTAAAATATAAATTCAACAGGAAAAAAGAAACAACAATCAAAGCAAAAATTAAGACAAAAAAGTGCAAAAAAAGCAATATACACTTATACAGTATTGTCTCTTTTAGTTGAATACTGATAGATATATTTCAACAATGATAGTACAAATATAGTACAAAGAAGATATGCTTAAGATACAGAAGGATCTTGACAGACATGAACATTTGGCACTATCTAATAAAATTAAATTCAATGGTGAAAAAAGTAAGGTTCTACATTTAAGCAAAAAACCCCAGATGCACAGGTATAGTATAAGTGGTACCTTGCCCAATAGTAGTAACAGGGATCTTGGAGTCCTAGTAGACAATCACTTAAATATGAGCCAGCAGTGTGCTGCAGCTGCCCAAAAAACCAACACAGTGCTAAGCTGCATTAACAGAGGGATAGAATCAAGATCATGTGAAGTGTGAATACCACTTTACAATGCCTTGATAAGGCCACATTTGGAATATTGCATCCAGTTTTGATCACCACGATGTAAAAAAGATGTTGAGACTTCTAGAGTACAGAGAAGAGCAACAAAGATGATTAGGGGACTGGAGGCTAAAACATAAGGAATGTTTGCTGGGATTGGGTATGTCTAGTTTAATGAAGAGAAGGACGAGGGGTGATATGATAGAAGTGTTCCAATATTTCAGGGGTTGTGACAAAGAAGAGGGAGTCAAGCTATTCTCCAAAGCACCTGAAGGCAAGAGAAGAAGCAATGGATGGAAACTAACCAAAGAGAGAAGCAACCTAGAACTAAGGAGAAATTTCCTGGCAGTTAATTAATTAATTAAACAATTAATCAGTGGAACAACCTGCCTCCAGAAGCTGTGAATGCTGCAACACTGGAAGTTTTTAAGAAGAAACTGGACAGCCATTTGTCTGAAATGGTGTAGGGTTTCCTGCCTGAGCAGGGGTTTGGACTAGATGACTTCCAAGGTCCCTTCCAACTTTATTTATTATTATATTACAAATCTACAGTGTGTTAATGATGAGGCTGGCAAGTATGTTTTGACCATTTTTTGAACACTCATCCTTCCCATTGGTCATTAGGTACTCACCTATATAGCCATTTTGTCTTGAATAATGAGATACTAGACGTGACTTTCATGTTTCTTTTTGTTTTGAATAGGAATATTGGTCTTTTGGAATATTAAGAATTATTGTAATATTGGTAACATCTAAGTTTTTAAAAATAGGACTGTCAGTCTCCGGACCCCTCACTGAGCCTAGACCTCTACATTCAGGTTGGCTTGTGCTGCAGAATTCCTATAATGCATAATAGTCCTATCAACTGGACTTTAATGTTTGCCCTAGAACAAACATTGGCTCTTTTATGACTCGTGGACTTCAACTCCCAGAATTCCTGAGCCAGCATAGCCAGTATAGCCAAGGTTGCCTTCCCCTACCCTAGGACAACTGATCTCCCATAGCTGATTTCTTCCATTGTTCTGTAATCCTAAGGCAACTCTTGCACCTTTCCAACTGACAGATTCAGTTTGTGTGTGATTTAAACACAACATTGTTGGTCTCCCAGCAGATAGTCCTATTCCCCCACCCTCAGAAAAATCTGGGTTACAGGTATATTAGGCAGAAGCTAATTGTCCAGCTACTCTTGTACCACAAAAGAATGCCTATATGTTGTTAGTTTCCCAGCCCTGCTCTGTTACATGTTACAAAAAGTAATTGGTGACCGGGATGGGAAAGAAAGCCCAAGAGTACATCAGTTGCTGTCCTGAGATTTTTCTGCATGAACCCTACAAGCAGAACACCATATTTTGGTATCACTGCTAAAGCAGAATAAAATTCCATTGAGGGACAGTACAATTTATGTTAACTTTTCTTCCAAGTCAACAGCAGAAGTAATACACAATAACAGCCATGAGGAAATACACTAAGTCAGGATAATTGAGATTCATGGCTCAATATTTACCACTTTCTAAACTTGGGGGCTTGTGCAAGCTAGGATGGAGAGGAGAAGAAGGTTTTTGGTAAATCTTTTAGCCTTCTTGAAATTAATAGAAGACATTCTTAAAACAGGTCTAAACAGATGTGATTTAAACACAAATTGTGCCAAGAAAATTAAATTTGTTTCCATAGGTTAAAATTTTCAGCTTTGTGCCACATATACTTTTACAATGATGTCGTGGACAGTTTAGTGTGCATTCAAATATGAATCAACTTTTTCCATATTATTCTTTTAAAAATATTTTTGAACAAGCTGCTTTTTAAATAACACAATCACTGATCAGGAATAACAGATTTTGTTTGTTTTATTTAGCTAAGGGAAAATTGTGTAATTAAATATATAAATAGGGAATTAAATTCTGTTAAGAAAAAATATGCAATTGGACTGTGAAAACAAGAAATGGCAAGGAAAAACAGCTAACTTAAGAAAGAATATTAAAATGTTAATTACCACAGAGCAATTTTGTCATAAGAAATTGAAAAAGAAAAGTCAAATCCCAGGAAGACAAGATACTGCTGCTGTAGTTAAAGTAGCTGTCTTTATTTAATTGAAGTCTTGTATTTTATTTTTATTACTTCTTCTTCATTAATGTCTTATACAAAAATTGAATCTAAAATAATCACGTCATAACGTTTATATTTTATTTCCAAGACAAATACACTAAGAAAATAGAATGTTTTTCCTCCTAATCAAATCCTTGTTGAACATTTTCAAAAGTAAAACTTGTAATTATGCCTCACCTTTCATTCATATAATAATTTTAAAGTATATAATTATAATTGATACAAGAAGTATTTTTCCCAGGAATTTAACAAATAACATTGTTGAAAATGTTGAAGCCAAATGTTTAAAAGAAGTTGCAGGGTTTAAATTCAGATTTCTGACCTGTAAATTGCACCCTATCATGCAAATGTGAAGAATTCTGAAAAACAGTAAGGATAGTCTAAATGTATTTTCTGAAAGGGAATGATGCTGAATTGCCATAGTCTTTCCATCATAACAGCAGAATTTCATAGGGATGTATCATTTCATCCAAGGAAGGAGTTGGTGGCTGGGTGGGAAGTGGGAAACATTTAGGAGCATAGGTATAGCACAGATGGATAGAAAAAAGAGGATTATCTTTGAGTGTTTGGATTGGATGCATTATAAATGGATATGCTTGTAAAATATTTGGAAATATAATGTTTTTGTTATGTATATATGTATCTTCTACTGGAAGGCTTTGCGTTAAAAACAATGCAAATGCTTAAAGCCAAAAAAGAAACATATGTCTTACCTCTTAGAAGCACTGTAAATGATTGAAATCTGAAATGTGTTTTATTTCCGGAAAATCCCTGTAATACACTAACTGCTTTAGAGTCAATCATTTCAACCACTTGTTTATCTTAAAAAGGGAAAAAAACATAACATACAATACAAACTTTTGTTTCAGATAAATCTATTTGCTGAATTGGGCCTAAACAAAGTTTAATCAAGGATTCATTTTTAAAAAATTCCACTTGTATCTATTTTACTGATGTACACACATGCCATTCATGTACTTTTCTAAACCTAGTTCACATCTGTGTGCTCTCCTTTTTCTCTATGGTTGTCCAGTAGCTATTCCCCTTATATAGCATGGATCCCTTTAAATTGTACCATGTTGAATTAATAGCAGAGCAATTTAGTTTTTACCACCAAGTACTCGATATTTCTTGTCTTCTTTCAGTGGTGACATACATAAGCTGCATGCAAAATCATTTCTTAGTGTTGCAGATTCTGTAGCTCCAGCAGTATGTACTCTTATATACTGAAACCCTAGAATCATACAAAAGGGTTTTCTAAAAATTCAGAAGAAGCTAATAGTTTTCATTGTTTTTTATCAGAAAACTGCTCAAAATCTATGCACTTTAACAGGATATTTCCATACCACGCTGAAAACTTAACATCCCTTTTATATCCCTTATAGCCCCAGCCAGATGTTTCTCTATTACAGTATCTTTATATACAGTAGTTGCCTCAGTTGGCTACAATGTGTGTTTTATGCTCCACCAAAGTTAGATTAGTAGAAACAGCAAGCACTTTATCATTTTTGAACTTTATATGTGGAATTCACTGCTGATGATTCTGAATACACCTAACCCAGTATAATGAATTATATATTGTGAGTCATATACTAAATGATATGCTCAAGACAATTGACAGAGGAATCAATCTGTGACATTCTAGACATTGCTTGGCCAAAGATGCAGTATCCTGGGAAGGGTAGTTCAACAACTCCTGAATGCCATTAGGGTGCCTGTTTTGTCCAAAGAGACATATATGGATAAATGCACGTGCAAGAAATGCAAATAATTGAGATACTCAATTACTTTCGTTGCCAAAACTATATTGGGATTTCTATCCCATTCCTTGTCAATCCCTTCCCAGTCATTCAGAAATTACTTATAAATGTGTATATACCTTTGGTTATAGTAAGCCAAAAGGAGCTTGATCCACATGAGAAATTAGGACAACATAAATTGACAAAGGCACTGCTCCAGCTCTTTAATCCAATTGAAATTAGGAAGCACTTTTTCAACTTTCAAAAATAAGTTTGTTTCAGAGGAGAGTTGTAACTACACAGTTATTCTACATTGTGGGTGGATGCAGTAGAAATACAGGCAAGTTTTGATGTCACGTGTAAATATTTCTCCCAAAACACATCTAGCTTTTAAAAACATCTTGGTTCTGATTGTTTGATATAAGAAATCATGCTGAACTTGTTAAAATTTGTAGTTCAACTGATTTAGAATCTACTGTATTTTAAAAAAGGAGTTTTGTATTAGGATGAATATTGAAGAAAATAATTCTTTCTGCTTCCTCCTGCTTTCTATTATTTGCTATAGGAAAATAATCTTGACTAACATATGAATCCACATGGGAAATGAAATATAGTATCTAAAACAAAGTTATAGACTTTAAAGTTGGGCATAAAAATGAAAGAATTTGAGTTCAAGCTTACTAGTATACCTTCAGAAAACTGACATGTTTCTTCAGAACAAACAAATCTTGCTCCCTGTGTGTACTTTGTTATGATACTCATTGCAACCACTATTCCCTCTGCCACATAAAACCTCTGAGTAGTATAATCAAATGGAAATTTGCAAAGACTGAGAATGTAACAGGGCAAGGAAGGTACATGTGTTAGTTTCAGAATTATGTTCATCTAGAAGAGAATAAAAAAATGATTGAGCTGATTACAAATAGGACAGACATTTAAATACTGTCATTATTAAACATTTATAATGATATTATAATATAAATAAGTTCCAGGAAGAAAGCAGGGGTAAGTAATGCTTCTTGAATGAAAAGACACATTTAGGTTGTGTGGCTTGCCAAGGCTAATTGATTAAAACATGGATGTGGCCAAATTGACATCAAAATGGTGGTGGTGGGGAAATAACTGCACTACTCCCAGCCATGGCCAATTACACATTCCCAAGAAGTATAGAAGAGTGGCATGAATATCTGAACAGATGAGGCTATACAGTATAATATCTGTTTCCCCCAAAATTGATCAGGCACAGGCACAGAAAGATTACACCCACATACCCACATAACACAGAGACTTTTAACAGGGCATTTGCAAATAGGAAAAGGGTATGTTTTAAAATATTAACTGATCAAACCACTCTATTTCCAAATTTTAACTGAATATAAAGTTCACCCACAAGCCTAAAAGTCAAACTACCTTGTATATTTTTATATGTCAATATTTTTAATGCAAGGACAATTTTTTCAGTAAAATAAGATGAATCCTGTATCATCTACCGCAGTATCCTATCTAGTTAACTATTTCAGTTGACTTACATTATATAAATATTCTTTAAAATGTAGATTATTTGTAGAAACATTAAAGCCTTCTACAGATCAGTTTAGCTCCACATCTTTTTTTGATAATTTTATTTCTGAGATATAAACAAATATGCCTTAGGCAAAATAGCCAGTTATATACAGTGTTTCAGTGTTGATCTTAGACTGGGAACAAATCTGTGATTGATGATGATGCATAGAAAGCTAGTTTTGCTATTGTTAAAAGTTACTACACAACAAGAACTGTCTGTGTGAATGAGAATTTGTAGGCACGTGGATGAATGGTCTGTTTTTTTCTATTTATCTAATATTACCATAAATAAGTTTACAATAAATGCATTTTGCCTTAAGAATTATATTTCAGAAAAAATATTAAACCAAAGATAGAATAGAATAGAATAGAATTCTTTATTGGCCAAGTATGGGCACAGTATGGACACAGAGGGTAGAAAGCTATATAATTGAAATAGCAACAAATCTTTTTTTGTCATATGCTAGCATAATGTAATTAAAATACAAATTGTCACTATTTTAGAAAAAATAGGACTGAAATAATAGTGAAAACTCACCTGAGCTTCAGTCTCTAATTGTTGAATTAATGACAATGTTTTAACTGCAGTAAAACATACCTGTAATTCAAAACTCAGTTCAATTTATGAGAAAATTATGGTTCAGAATACTTATAGAATATCTGATCAAAATGTAAGATTCCTTACTGACTGAAAAATCTGAGTACCCTTCACAGGTTGATGCAAAATATAATTTCCAAGGGTAGCATCCAACTCAGTAATATCAGATGGGTTTATCAATATAAGAAACCGGAAAACAGCGCAACCTTGGCTAGATTCTGTAAGGCCAGATATAAATAAATGTTAAAATTGCCTATTTACTGTTTTAAGCTAAGTAATTCTGATTGCTTAATAATAATCTTAGGCAAATACCATTACAATATGATTTGCAGTCATTAACAAATTTCTGAAGACCACCACTCCTGTCAAGATAAATTAAAGCAGCTTCTTTCATTTTCAGAAGATCCAACTTCATTTGCTCTAATCTTGTTTCTCTACCCAATTCTTAGATTACAAGTGTATGTTGCTGTGAAGAATCAAAAATTAAATGTGCAATAAAAAGGAAATTAGCAAACTGTATTAGAATAATAAAACACCACATCTTGCTATAAGCTCTTGCTTAAGCTCTAAAGAAAATTCGAGTACTGAACAGCTAAATATCACATATATTTTCAATACAGTTATATAATAATGGAAATGAAACCACCTTTACTCCGTATGAAGTTTCTAATAAAACTAAAATAAATAATGTAATTCACTTAACCACAGCGTAAAAGATCATAAAATTGTGACTGACTTAATGGCCTTGATAGCAATAGATGGTTCGGTCCCAATTATGATCATAAAATGATGACTACCTATAGTACTGGCATTATTGTAACATCAGGAACTAGCTATTATTTTTACAACCTGTAACAGCATTCTAGTTTCTATGGAAGTAATTTCTTGTCATGCTCCCCAACAACTTGCTCCTGAACTCAAATTCAATATTTCCATTATATATTCAAGATAGGCAGTAATTAATATTTATGTTACTTATATGTAAGGGTGTAGGTCTATACATGTTGTGTATACTATGTTTAAATATGTGTTATATATGTGTACACGTTGAGAACAAGCAACTAAATTTCATTTTGAATGTGTACCATTGTGCTCACAGTAAAAAATGACAATAAAAGTTATCTATCTAATGTTTAATTCTATTAAATTCAAAACCAGGCCAGAACCTTTTGGATGGCCACCACAAACTATTAAGTGTTGCTGTCATCAGAGGGAAACTTTTTTTATTGGAAGACAGAAAAAAATATTATTATCTAGAAATTACCATTGTACAAATAAGGCCTTTTAGCCAAGTTATATTTTAAGTTGCTCCTCTCAGAAGATGGGATTGTGCAAGAAACAGTATTATATTTCAGTAATATAATCGCTGAAAACATCTACGTATGTACTGCAATCATTCAAAATTAAATATGTTACTTATGTAGTGAATTAAACTTGGTAGTATTTACTCTTAGTTTCAATTGTGAAGGTCAGTGTGATTTAACTGATTCATTTCAAAACTGAAGACTGAATAAATTTTGAAAATATAACAATAATCAGTTTGAATTATATTATGTGTATGAATAGATATAAAGTGTGAAATTGTCTGGGCTAGTAATCTTTTTGAATGGAAAGGCTTTCAGCTGATAGTGTGAATGCTAAAGATGAAAAGGTTTGTAATATGCATCATCTGAAACAGAAAATGTGGAAAAAAAATACTACATAACTTTACAGTACTAATGATATTTGTTAAGTGAGAATGTACCTGAATACAGATAGTCCTCATCTTACGACCATAATTGAGACCAGAACTTCCTTTCCTAAGTAAAGTGGCTTTTAAGTCAGTCACACCAAATTCACAATAACAGTGGGGATGCTGCAATGGTCGTAAGTGTGAGGAGTGGTTGTAAGTCATTTTTTTAAGTGCCATTGTAACTTCAAACAGTTGCTAAAGGAATTACTATAACTCGAGGACTACCTGTGGCAGCCTCAGATCAACAGTTTATTTATAGATGCTTTCCCACAAACCCATGCCATGTGTGAAATGGGATTATAAGAGATTCATCAACTGCTATAGCCAATTAACAGCTTGTATTTTGAAAAACTAAATGGATCTCAAAAGTGGTAGTTTAAAATGAGGTAAAGTGAAAGTTAAGCTAAACCCATTCTCTTAATTTAAAAAAAAATTCAAAATCACCTCCAAACTATTGGGTAAGGTAAGGAAAACAATACTGCTTCTTGCGATGTGTTTAATTCTACTCATTAAAAAAAAATCCTGAGCATGTGATAAAGCTGATGATCATTCCAATGAATCATGTTGACATATTCCCTCATTCCCGTCATCTCTGTTTGGCCATGGATTATGGGATACTGTTGTTCAAACTGTAACTCTAATTAATAAACTTTCTGTATCTTCTCTTAAAGGTTTATGCCCGTTTCTCCTTGGGCCTTCTTTCTACTTCCCTTCTCTCCTTCATGTATTTCTACCACTGGCAAGGCTGCTTCATTCATCTTTCATTTGGCAGCAACAGATCTTCCTCTCTTTCCTCTCTCCCTCAGAAAGACCAAAGCCCAACACCAGATTTCCAACTCACTGTGCTTCTAATCCCATTACCAGTCTCACAATGCTGTACAGCAATCTTGTGCTTGACAAGATTTTCAGCTTTGACAAATTCAGGCATAAGATTTACCTCAGATCAGTTAATTCAGGGTTTCTCAACTTTAGATGTGTGGACTTCAACATGCTGGCTGTGGAATTCTGGGAATTGAAGTCCACACAGCTTAAAGTGGCTCAGGTTGAGAAACACTGAAATTATTCATGAGATATTCATTGACATTAGCTACTGTTGCATTAATGCCACATTATAAGCAAACCTACAGAGAAAAAGCAAATATTCCTTATGTACATAGCCAATTCATAGTAAACATGTTTAACTATTATGGGTTTGTTAACTTAACTGGCCTTTTATCTATTCACAACTATTGTTTCTGAAGCATTACCATGTGTTCAATATACTCTCCCCCATTTTTAATACAAGATTTTAGAAAAGTAATGAATTACAAACTAAGTAGGAAATATCAGGGGTTGACAAGAAAGGCAAATTCAGTTTTAGGCTATATCAGTTCAAATCAATCATGATTTGACCTTATTCTATGTTGGTTAGATTCTAAAAGGAGCATTAGGCCTAATTTAGAGTACCATATTTGAGAGATACTGGACTAAATTCAGAAAATGGCATAAAACAGGAGTCCTTAATACCTGGGCCAGGGCCTGGTACCAGGCCATGCAAGTAGTGGTCGAGCACACGATTCCAGGGGGGAAAAAAGCTAGGCATCATTAGCATATAGGCAATATCTAGTCCCAAAGCCCTGGATTAATTCATTCAATGGATTAATGTAGAAATTAAACAAGATTGACAAAATTTGGATACCATAGCTTAGTAGAAGTTTGCTGAAGTCACATACTCATGTCAACTCTGGAGTATGGAATAGAACCATGAAGAATAATGCATCTTACTCCAACTCTATAGACAGTCATTTCAGCAGAATACTATGATTGATGGTGTGAGCATACTGATGGCACCCAAGTCACAGCTTTACTAAATGGCTTCATATACTTGCTAAGTGATCCAGAAGGATCAAAAAAGTTATACTCACGTGATACAGATAATCTGTTGGATGACAATTTTGCTACCCAAACCAGGCTACTAATACATTTGAGACTGATCCACATAATCTATATTCTCCAAGATCTTATGAACTAGCTACTTCATTGGATAGGTGGTTTGTGTGAGAAAACTGGATCTCATATGAGGCACATAACTGATTAAAATGAGCTGACTGAATTCCTTAAGAGCTAGGATTCCAATGAAGAATACTCTAGTGAAGATAAAAGTGGGCTTTGGGCTGGATATTTTGATTGTGTTTGTATACACCATACATTATTTGGTTTGCTACAGTCATATATATAATATATAATATTTGTATATATATATATATATACACATATATACGTTTTCTGAGGTTTTCGCGGGTATTTGTATGTAGGTCTTTGGTTGTTCGGGTTTTCTCCCGCGTAAAATTGGAAGTGTCTTGGCGACGTTTTGAAGAAGTCCCATTCGTCATCTTCAGGCTGGTGTTTTCAGCTTCGTGCTTTGAGCACTTGCTGCTCAAAGCATGAAGCTGAAAACACCAGCCTGAAGATGACGAATGGGACTTCGTCGAAACATCGCCAAGACACTTCCAATTTTACGCGGGAGAAAACCCGAACAACCAAAGACCTACACACACACACACACACACACACATATAATTTTTAAGATATGCTTACTTTCATTTTCTTAGTCAATATGAATTCCATTAATTAGTAGAAAAAATAAACAGTAACAATATTATAATTTATGTTGATTGTCTCAAATACCTTAATCCTTTTACTTTGAATGGGACAACTAAAGAAAAACTTGTTTATATTTTAAAGTGAAAATATTTTATAAAGTAAAGATTTGATTTCTATTCAATCAGTCTGTTAAAGCCAAGGAAAAAATATTTTCTATTCAAATTTTGCAAAGTCACTGTTTTGAAACTCATTCCCTCATCCTCAAACCACTGATTATACTGGGATACGTGTGTATGCATGTCCAAAAATGAACAAGTTATACTTTAGTACATTATTTGGGAGCAAATTGTACAAGTGTTTGACATATAAAAAGAAACTGAAATTAAAATATAACAAGAAAAATATAACAAGAAAATAAGATTTTTTAATATAATCAAATTGTAATATATTAGCTTTCAACATAGAAGGAAGGAGTTTCACTTCTACAAATGGCAGTACAGTGATATTTAAATTTTTATTTCTTGGGGAGAAAGATACCTAGCTTCTTCTATAAGAAGGAGAAATGGTTATTGTGAGATGTGTTGTCATCAACAAATATTAAATGCTAATTTGCTCCAACATTATTTCAGTTAGAAAATACATTCCTGTGTTTGGTAACTGGAATGAATCAAACACTTAAGTGACAAATGACTTCATTTATATGCCCATCATGATTTACAATGGCACACATTTACATTAAATTGAGTGATACTGTATATATTATTTCTTCTAGTTAGTATAGTAGTATGATTATTGCCAGTTAAGTAAAGAAATGGTAGTTAAGCTTATTTTTTAAACAGGAGTTTACAAAATAATTGCATAGTAGTATTTCAAGCATAGAAGTTCAATATAATTACAAAGCCCATTAAATAGGTGTGCTGATCATAAAGAGAGCCAAATAGATAGGTTAATGTAAACTGAATGAAAAACAGTTATTATCTTAGTTTTAAAAGTTTCAAGGTTAGGAACTTTTATTTAAATGCATTTTTAAAAATATTTTTGTGCAGCATGTTTAACAGTCTAAAAATGTAATGCAAAATGCCCATTATCCTCATAATACAGCAGAAAAAGTTTGTTCTTCAACAGATTAAATGAGGCACTTGTAGCAGATATTTCAGAAACTGTTTATAATCATATAATTTCATTAGTCCTTTAGAAACAGCTTCCAATGTTCCAATCTTCAGCTTAATGAAATAAGTCTTCAGAAGGTGGTGCATAAGAAAATCCAATGAATGCATCATCTGCTTCTAGTACACTAGCATTTACAATATTATAATCAGAAGAAATGCAAATTGAGCAGGGTACCATCTCTTCTGTAAATGTTGCATCAAAGTTCCTGATGTCATCTGGACCAAACTAGAAAATAAAGCATATGTAAAATATTACAAGGAAAAGGCTTATATGTTCATATATTATCAATTTAAAATGATTTAAAAAATTTTTCAACAGAATAATGTACAATATTATAGTCTATCTGGTTAAGCAATGAATCCTCCACTTGTGCAATGGGATTCTAGTTAGTCCCTCCCTTTTAAACTCCCACAATTCTCCAGAAATCTGCTCTGAAGGCAGTGGAGAAAGGAAACAGGAATTCATTCATTCTGATTCTATCTATAAACGGTTATTATATAGTGTAATAAGCACAATATACTACATAGAGACCTGTTTGTTTCTAGAGATTATGCAATACTATGTTCCGTTTTTATTCATCACTTCTTATCATGATTTTTTTCATTCGTCTTAGCTATGATGACTTAATGAATAAAGAGTAGGAATGGACCTACCACATTAGGATTAAATGGTGGTGGAATCTTTTTTTGTAAAAGGTCATTCCAACTGACAGATTCAAAGAAGGGATGCCTTTGAATTTCAAGCTGAAATACAAAATGAAGTTTAATATAAGCTATATAGTTTGTATCAAATGTGTCAGAAAACTGGTGTCATTCCACAGAAAGTTAACAAATCTTCCTGTTCTGATTAAAGTCAGGTTCCCAAAAATTATGGATCTTGTGCTGAATTTCCTATGTATGATATAAAACATTTTAGTGACTATGTATTAACATATAGCTGTGTATTAACATATGTGTATTAACATATATAGACTGTGTATTAACATATGTTAATTTCTGAAGGGGCAGAATCATGTATCCTTAATAATAAACTGTGCTTCTAATACTCTGTAAATTGTCCTGAGGTGCTTTTCATTACCAACAATGCCAGAGTACAAAAAGTAAGGATAGGATGGACATAACTGCCTTACAATGGCTTTTTTAATATTTTCTCATACTAACTTTCTGTTCACTGTATACTTTCAATTTTATAAACTGCTTAGTTTATTCTTAAAACAGATAAATTTAGAAAAGGAGAAAAAGAAGCAATCTGCAAGCAGATTCAGAAGGAAAATTAAATGGCCCAGATATTTTTTAGAGTCACTGACTGCTAAAACAAAGATATATTTAAGTATTTTAAAAAATAAAACATAAAACAAAACGTCCAGGTTCCTGATACTCCAAACTCCAAGGGAAGGAACTGTAGTGATGAGTTATTAGGATTCCCTCACAATAATCAGAGGTACTTCTCCACTGGTGAATAGGGGTGAATGCTTATATGCGCATGAATATTAGGGTGGAAGAACAAAGCTAGAACTGCTGCTAATCCCACTGCTGTCCAGCAGAGAATGCCCAAAGCTCTTGGATCTCATGTCTGATGGTCTGGTGAAGAGGTTGTGCAGGCTTTTACTGTCAGATAACTTCAGTTTGCATGTCATAGGTGTTGTTTGTATGGATATCAGGAGTTCATGGCCTCCATGGCAATATGAGTATGGGGAGGTGATAATTACTTCTTGAGAAAGGGGGAGAAACTGCTTGCCCTGAAGGAGGCAGGAGTCTGAGTTTATGAATTTTAAGTGAGTAGTATTCCGGAGAATGTCAGTGCTTTCACCAATTCCATGCTCTTCCTGACTGATCATGGTTCCCAGGGAGGTTAAACTATGGTTAATTCAACTTTAAGTAAGAGGGTCATGGTGTGCATAAAAGAAGCAGTGATGTACCCCCTCCTCAAGATGCCATCACTCATTTCCAACCTTCCCTTTTTGGATTCTGGAAAAAGTAGCAGCTAAACAACTGCAGTATTATTACTGTATATTTTACAGATTGTCCTCAATTTATGACTGTTAGTTCAACAACAGCGCTGAATGAAGGGACATGCATCCTCTTCCCGAAATTCCAATCACTGCAGCAACCATATAGTCATGTGACAAAAATTAGGTCACTTGGCAGCACACCTGCCCTTAAAATCACAGGAGTGCTGAAAGCTGGTTAGGCCCACTGGCACGTAGAAACCTATCACAAGCTGGGAGATCTCGGCTAGCTGGGCCCACTAGCTTGGAGGCCTTCCCCCTCCCCCACCACTCCCAGAAGGCTCGAGTCTTCTACCTGCCACACTACTTTCATGAAAGTCTTGGGCTCACACCCTAAAATGGATAATGTCAACCTACTCTGTGGCGTTTATAAAAACTCTTGAGTATAAATATGTAATTCAGTACCATAAAAGCTCTGCACCTATATGAAACATAATTATAATGAACATTCTATAAATTGTTTAATTCTTAAAATCCAAATAAATTTTATTTGGCAAAACACCTCACACCTCATGTTGTTACTCATGTTGTTAAACTCTTGATTCAAAGAAAATTAATTATGCTTAAATCCCATCCAAACCAATTAAGATTGAGTTAATCTTCAGAGTCATCTTGCAGTGAGATGGATGACAAATATATTTAATAAATAAATATATTGTGTATGCTGGAATGAAATGCAGTACTCAAATTTAGTTATTTAAATTTTTCAGACCACCTATATTTTAAAAAGGAACAAATATTTGCATGTAGTAGCAAAGAAAATTTTAAATGTTTTTTTTAATTTATTGTTTGATTTAAAATAAGGTATTTTACATACAAAATCTTCTTTAGCTCCAAGTCTGTTCTGTCTTTCCTTCTCCAAAAGTTCTTCCAAAATAGACCAAGCTGTAAGACTGACACCTGGCCTTAAATGGAGAGGTTTATGAAGAATGCTTTCATACATCTCAGCAACATCACGGCAGTAAAAGGGTGGCTGGAGATATTGTAGGGAAAGATAACAGAACAGAGCTATAGTGTACTTGTCCAAGAAATATAAGTAGATATATATATTGCAAGTATCACCCTTACTACAAAATATTCACCCTCAAAGATCACAGAGAACCATTGAGAAGAGCAACATACTGTTTAATAAGTATATGTCATAAAGATATGAAAGATTATTTGTCTTAGGACTTGAACCATCATTTTAGAATTTGCTTGGTACTCATGCAACAGAACAGTTTCTAAACTGCAGTGAGAGCTTCTTAGTATCTAGGATTAAATAAACAAGGGATCATTTCAATTAAACACTTTATTTTTCTATCTGATCTAGAAGATATTATAGTTTCAAATTTGACACCAGATCCTGAAGATAACCTAATCTAGGGAAAATAAAAATTGTTGATGGATATTAATGATGTAAATATAGGTCCATTGTATAAGATTTACCACAAAGAATGATATTCTCAAGTAATTGTGTTTTTAAGAAAGCAATCTCACTCAGAGTGATTTGAAATAGAAACATAATCAAGGACTGGTAAGAAATATTATCTGGATTATAGGAGGAAAATAACTTGGTTCTAACTGGCAATAACTGCTATTTTTCTGACACATTATGCTTTTAAGGATCTCAGATGAAAATCCTATTGCATTGGATGTTATATTCCTTTTTTTGTCCAATATATTTAAAAAATGGCTTGTGACATGATGAATAATATTTTCACTCAAAATTATTGTATATGCTTTATTGATGTAAGCAAAATATTTTATAACTGAGACAGGAAGCAAAGTCTGGTGATAGGAAGAAACAGGCATTTTCCTAAAGACCAAAAAATGTACATTTTAATATAGGTACTACAGAAGCCAAAAAGGATCTCTACTATCCTACTATCAATGAGGAACAACAGGATAAATGAAAAGATGTTAGAAATGTCCTAGATACTGTCAGCTTTTTCTAAATGATTCCATTCATTTTAGGAGCAAATACTATCATTGCTATTTCAGTTGTTTATTCTTTTATGCCTGGTGACATAATCTGTTCCATTACCAGCCAGGAAATTGAGAGAACATCAGAAGCAAATGACTAAGCCACGAGACTTGGCTGGGAATAAAGTAGCATTGTGGATGTTACTATGTTTTTAATATTTTTATGTCAAAAATTAAAAGTTAATTTAGTTTAATTAAAGTTAAGTTCAATTTGAACTTAATTCTATTAGATCAGAATACAGATCATTTTAGTCAGTATCCTGTTTCCAACAGCAAGAGCTAAGACATATGGTAAGAAGTTACCTCCTTCTAATATCTAGTATATATTTTTAGGCATTGATTCAGGTATGCAGTTTGAAAAATATGAGGTTACCTACCAGACCATATAGCATTTCATACAAAACAGCTCCAAGACACCACCAGTCTACAGTGTTATCGTAGGGTTGCTTTCTGATTACTTCTGGAGCCAGGTACTGTAAGGGAAAAATGGCTTCACCAGTCTTTAGGAGGCACAACTCCTTTTGGTATGAATGATGCTAAGCATAAGCCTATGGCTTTTCACTCTCAACTATTTAATAGAGCTCAAAATTGATTTCTTAGATATATGTACTGTATGTTATTATAAAAAATAGAAGATGTTTTGAAGCTTACTTTGTTTTTATGATTTTATGGTTTGCAGTTTTATTATTGCTATGAGTCTCTCAGAGTTGTGTTTTCAGATGGGCAGTCATACAAATGAATGAATGAATGAATATAAAATCAAATTTTAATTCTTGTAAATCTTGCAATGAACCTGTTACCCATTCAGTAAGTCCAAAGCTTGGGGGAAAAGATCCACTCATTTTAATCAGGGAATGATGGAGTGCCACCCAAATCTAAAGGGAATTATGTTGGAAACTTTCTTATGGTATCGATAATTAGATAACTGCTAAAATACATTTTTGTACAATTATTAATAATAATAATAATAATAATAATAGTAAAGTTGGAAGGGACCTTGGAGGTCATCTAGTCCAACCCCCTGCTCGGGCAGGAAACCCTACACCATTTCGGACAAATGGCTGTCCAGTCTCTTCTTAAAAACTTCCAGTGTTGGAGCATTTACTGCTTCTGGAGGCAAGCTGTTCCACTGATTAATTGTTCTCACTGTCAGGAAGTTTCTCCTTAGTTCTAGGTTGCTTCTCTCCTTGATTAGTTTCCACCCGTTGCTTCTTGTCCTGCCTTCAGGTGCTTTGGAAAATAGCTTAATTCCCTCTTCTTTATGGCAGCCCCTGAGATATTGGAATACTGCTATCATGTCCCCCCTTGTCCTTGTCTTCGTTAAACTAGACATACCCAATTCTCGCAACCGTTCCTTATATGTTTTAGCCTCCAGTCCCCTAATCATCTTTGTTGCTCTTCTCTGTACTCTTTCTAGAGTCTCAACATCTTTTTTACATCGTGGTGACCAAAACTGGATGCAGTATTCCAAGTGTGGCCTTACCAAGGCATTGAAGAGTGGTATTAATACTTCACGTGATCTTGATTCTATCCCTCTGTTAATGCAGCCTAGCACTGTGTTGGCCTTTTTGGCAGCTGCCGCACACTGCTGGCTCATATTTAAGTGATTGTCTACTAGGACTCCGAGGTCCCTCTCACAGTTACTACTATTGAGCATGGTGCCACCTATGCTGTACTTGTGCATTTGGTTTTTCTTGCCTAAATGTAGAACCTTGCTTTTTTCACCATTGAATTTCATTTTGTTAGTTAGTGCCCAGTGTTCAAGTCTGTCCAGATCCTTCTGTATCTGAAGCCTGTCTTCTGGAGTGTTGGCTATTCCTGCCAGCTTGGTGTCGTCTGCAAATTTGATGAGTTCCCCATCTATCCCTTCATCCAAATCGTTGATGAAGATGTTGAAGAGTACTGGGCCCAGAACAGAGCCCTGGGGCACCCCACTACACACTTCCCTCCATATAGATGCAGTTCCATTGAGGACCACTCACTGAGTACGGCCGGTCAGCCAGCTACGGATCCATCTGGTGGTGGTTCTGTCTACCCCACATTTTTCTATCTTGTCAAGTAGTAGGTTGTGATCTACTTTATCAAATGCCTTACTGAAGTCCAAGTATTAACTTAGCTATCTTCCACAACTTTCTTAGGCAGCTAATTTAGCATCCCCATGGTCATCAAGACTTCCCTAATAATTAAGTTACATCTTTTTTTATTAAGACGTTATATATCTAAGATACTGTTTTTCAGTTCTACCAATGAAATGTATTGTATTTTAAGAGAGAGAAAACAAAAAGAGAAAGCGAGAGTGTGCAAATAAATTAACTTACCTCTGGAGTTCCACAAAACGTTGCAGTAGTATCTGAAGTTGCAATTCCTTCTTTACAGAGTCCAAAATCTGTTAAGACAACATGCCCCTGCATTGAAAATTGAAAATCTACTGTCAAACAATGAAGAATATTAGTGATTAAATTGTTTAAAATTTCTTGGATAATAGAAATAAATATTTACAGCCTACCAATGAATCTAGAAGAATATTTTCTGGTTTCAGATCCCTGGGCATAAATGAGAAAGAAGGAAATTCATTGTAAGTAAAATCTCTAGCAAGAATCATGGTCTTACGTAACTATTAATAAGAAATAAAGTCTTTGTATAAACCAACAAATAATACAATGAAAAAAGTAAATATATATTAATATAAAATGCCTGTATTTATTCCATTTTCCCTTTTAAGTCATTACCTGTATACAATTTTTATGGAGTGCAAGTAGCCCAGTGCACTGGCTATTTCAGCAGCATAAAACTTGGCTCTGTGTTCAGGAAAGGTGCGTTCTTTTTGTAAGTGAAAGAAGAGCTGTAAATATGCATGGAGCAGATTAAAAGAAAACAGTGTTATTCTTAGTAATAAGATTAACACATTCTGCAATTGTCTATCAACAGCTATCAAAACAGTGAAAAAAACATGCATAATTATTCACATCCTTCCTTTAACCATTTCCTTATTTTTTCAAAACTGTAGCCTTGGCAAGTTACAGCTGCAATTTCTAAATAAATTACTGCAATGGTCTAGTTTACACATAACCATAATCAGCAACCATGGTTTTGGAAATTCTGCCTTCACATAATTTGTGAATGCTACCCATGTTTCACTAACTTTTGGTTAATATAAATTGTGATTATAACAATTTTTAAACTAAATATTCCATATACACATAAAGTAATAAGCAATAACAGCAACATAGCAAATAGATCTATATTTGCAATGTGGGAGTCGATTTATATTAAGCTACTATGATTAGCTATTGCAATTTCTCTTAAACTGCAGGCCAAAACTGATGATATTTGATTACTATATAAAGACTGAAAAGTATACCTACCTCTCCTCCATTAACAAAATCCAGAACAAAGTACAGCTTCTCTATGGTTTGGAATGAATAATGCAATCCAACTAAGAATGGATGTTTCACATTTTTCAATAGCACATTGCGTTCAGCCATGATATGTTTTTGCTATGAGGAAATAAAGGGTCAATAAGTAAGTAGGAATGATTTTGTAATTGGAAGGAAAAGCAAAATCTCTTCCCTTTTACCTCTTTCCTGTTTAGGACAATTTTCTTCTGCAGCACTTTAACAGCATAGAACTTTCCATCCCATTTTCGTTTTGCAAGAAGAACCTAAAGAAGAATTTTCATACAAAGTCTGTTCCACCCTGTTGAAGAATTCAAGTAATTTTTCCCAGTTCTTACAAGTAGCAACTATATAGAGATAATGCAGTGATGTTAGATTATTTCTAATTTTAAAAAATCGCCCGTACGATTCCAGGGATTCAAACTGGATCTTTAATATCTAAGGCAAGCAGCTATAAGTTTTCTTTTCGTATCATCAGCAAAAGGACATATCCCACCCATAGAATCAAAAAATGTTCAAATGGAGTGGCATGAGCAAAGAGTATGTAATAATAAAAGGAAACCTACCTTACCAAAGCTGCCCTTCCCAATAATTTTCAGGAAGTCAAAGTCTGTTGGTTTAGCACTGGAGTGGTTTCAGGATAAAGAAAAACAGGCAATCAAAATGATAAAAGGTAGCTATTTAATGTTTGGATGGCAGTCATACCATATATTCTTCCTAACTACTCCTTCAGTATTCGCTGTGCTCTTCATCACAGTTCAAATTTAACAATCAGATGTCTGCTGTATTTCAGTCTTCTAGAACACCAATTATTCTACATAGTGTAGTATTTCCCATTTTATGCATATACTTTCTGATTATCCTCCACATTACTGTTTCTTTTACTGACTTTCCACAAATTCATCTTTTCCTTTTTTATTTATACTTAATAACTTGTCAGACAATATTCTCTTAGTTCTAAATTACAACATTTTCTTCCTAAACTTGCTCCTAATTGATACTACATGCAGAGTACTCTTTACTCCCAGCCCCATTTTAACAAGTAACTACAAAGGCTAATTTATATTTAACTAAAACCTACTGAGGATTTCCAGATGGCCCCAAGTTGATGTTCTGTGAGGTAGAATTTAGCTGTTTAAAAATAAAAAATATAAATTAAAATCAAATCAAGTTTATACATAATTCATTAGTTAGAAAAGAAATTTAATAATAACATTTCAGACTGCAATCTAGTATACTCAAATTAAGTATTTTTGGGGGAACTAAATCTTTCTTGTAACTTTGTTTTTGAAAGGATAAAGGTTAATTACTGTAATCCCTATCAATACAGAGATGTTCCTGACACCAGTGAGTGTAAATTGCTTTTTAAAAAGACAGAAAGAAAGAAAGAAAATTGTTTCTCAGGCAGTTTTCTATGTTTAAGAGCAAAGTCTACGTTCCCCACATATTTCTGTGTGCTATCCAAAATAAAATCCACCTTGTTTTGATAAACAGCTTTGAGATTGAAAAAGGAAACTCAATGATTAAAAACTAAACTCTGAAAAGGTATTTAGAAGGGACTACACAAGAACTCTGTGTATCCTTTTAGACATACTTTTACATATCTACAGCTTTTGTTGGGATCAAACTTTCCAGGCCCTTTAAAGGATTTAAAAAGTACAACTAATAGGATTAATCTTTCTAGATGTTTAAGAGACCTATTTCACAGATTAATTTTTGTCATTTTGCTATCAAATTTTATCAGTAGAATTCTCCAGAACTCTGAGGTGTAAAAAAAGAAGAAAGAATGGCAAGGATGAATGTGACCCATAGACTGTCAACCCTACCACAGAAAGATAGGACAAACTCCTGGGTCAGATTATGTCTGCACACTTTTCACCCTCCTCCCCACTCGTCAAGAAACACCATAAATCCTGCTGAACTAAAATGCACGTAGAAAGAGTTCTACATGAACAGAAGAAGGGCATTATTAAAATCTGGGCTGAGTGGATCTGGTCCAGAAGGATAATAGAAACTCTTTTCTGCTTGGTGAACAGATGTGGTTACCAATGAAAAATATAGCTGCCACCCAACATGCCTATGTTACTATGAACAACTTCAATTTATAAAATGATAATTGCATTTGGTTGCACATAAAGAATATTTTTCTATATTATGTGATTTTCATGTTGTACTGTTGGATTACATAAATTTATTTGATTAATGGATTACTATGTTATAAATTATTGCTATGAAGACAATAATGCTTGTGTTATATTTATTATTAAATAAATTATTGTTCATCTCAAATGAATAACAAATAAAAGTTGAGAATAATCTGCTTATGCAAGTATGCATACTAGTGTAAACTAGAGCAACTAATTTACAGAGCACATATTATAAACTGACATTGTTTAAATTGTCCTGTCAAGTAGAATCAGTATTACTTGTAGACAAGTAAACATGCCATTTATGACATGACAAAATCACATTACTGAAGAAAATTAACATTCCTCTACCAACTCATCAGATACAGTTACCTGATTGCTGGCAGGGGAACCAGAACATGTCTGAAGTATTAAACCTTCTAATAGGACAAACAGTTTTAAATCTGTGAGTGATATAAACGTGAAAAAAAATATGGCAAGACACCCTTGATTATGTTCAAAATCAGATGTGGATTAAAGCTGAGGTGGATTTGGACCCATTTCCTAGAGACATGTTGTATCTTACAGGTTGAATGCATAGCTTTATTGATCACTAGACTGCAGAAGTGTCTGACCATGGCTGAGTCAACACTCCAGGGAGCTTGCTTGAGCACTGCAGCATGAAGTAGGCTGTAGTATTGACATGAATTTTATGTCAACTAGCTGATGGTAGTGATTAGTATTAGTTAATGCTGCTTTAATTGCCAATTATAGGAATAGCAGCTGTTCTTACATATTTTCTTTTATTACAAAGTATTGTAGATGTTCTTGTAATTTCACTGATGAAAGTGCAAAGATTCCAAAACTTATGCTTACTGACATAAAAATTGGCATCTTCACTGGAATATATGAAGAGTGATTATTTGTATTTTAAAAATAGTTTAGGAATACAGATTAAAGGACTCCAAACTTTGAATAATGTAAAATAACAACTTAACACTCTGAGACTACTATATTTGACAAGAGAGGTAGATTGCAATGCTTTATATTCCACTGAAATATAAATCAAGAAAGATATTGGAAAAGGACAATAGGGTTGGTAAAATAAGGTAACTTCTATAATTTAACCACAGGATGCAAAAAATTAGTTACCTTTTGACTGTTTCTTTCATCCTCATCTTCAGATGGATCGTATTGATGCTTTGGATTGTCCATCTGAAGAAATGATCTTACATCTGGACTAGGAAAGATAATTTAACTGATTATACAATGTTTTATTATATATTTTCAATGTGAATAACATATACAACAAAACAAAAAAGAAATTATCATCATGACTTAGCTGAAAACTGAAATCAAACAGGAAGTTAGGTAGATTACAGCTTAGCTAATTAAGATGAAGCTTCCATTTCCATTCATACAATATATATTAATTAGATCACTTGTAAACACCACCAGGAAGAAGCAATTTCCATTATAACACTTTTGATATTGTTGCCATTTTTAACTTTTAATTTGTTAAAATTTGTATTAATAACATTAAAATCACTACCACAATTATATATAACTGAATGAAAGCAGCAGAAATTTGATCAGTTAAAAATAATTTCAAAGAATTAACAATCCAAACATTTTCCCAAAAAAGTTACATTTTGATAAGCCACAGCAAACCAACAATGAAGCTGACAGTCTCTTTACCATTGGTTATGTATTCCAGAGAAGACACAACCATGGGACAAATAGAACCTGAATCTGAACTACTCTTATTTTCCTTGTGGACAGAACATCACCTAGCACAGGGGTCCCCAACTCCTGGGGCCACGGTGCACTGCTTGACTTTCTATGTAATTGTAACTGCCAAAATTGTTAGGCCTCATTTAGCCACCATTATAGCTAGTCCTCAGCTTATGACCACAATTGAGTCCACAATTTTGGGTGTTAAGTTGTAAAAGTTGTAAAGCAGGTCATTCAATGACCAATCCAAATTTTATGACCTTTCTTGACATGTGGCAATCATTAAGTGAACGTGGTGTTGTAAAGTGAACACTACAATTGTTAAGTGAAAGCCCCAGTCATTAAATGAACCCATTATTTGCAATGGGGCGATTTTTCAAAAACCGAAGTAAATGCCAATTTCCAAAATTGATGTGGCCACGTGATCTACTGGACATCGCAACTTTGCTTTTGGGGTAGGGGGGCTGTTTTAATTTTGAATGGTTGCCAATCAACTGCTCATAGCAAATGATTGCTAAGTGACTGATCATACGTTGAGGACTACCTATATTCAGATACATCCATTTAAAGAATGGATGAATTCCTAGATTTGATTGAAGTTATGAGCTTGCTTATATTTATTTATTCCTCTGATTTACAAGAAGATGGTATGAAATCTGAAATTAATAGGCAAACCCTGTCAGAGCATTCTGAATGACAGTGGAACTATAAGTTCCTTCAGAAAGATTATTTTAATCAACCATAAATTTCTTCAATCAAAAAACTCAAACTTTACCTCTGTTTGAATCAAAGCATAGGATTTATTATTATTAAAGGCTTAAGTAATGATTTTAATAACAATTCTGCAGGGGTTTAAAAAATATCGAACACCACATCTGAGAACTCTAACCTTGACCTGCCAAAAGTATGCCTTGGTGACAACTTTCCATGCCATTTTGTGCAGCATCTGGTAATCAAAAGTTATAGACATTCTCTTACAATACAGGTAGTCCTTGTCTTATGATCACAGTTGGGTCCAGAATTTCCATAGTTAAGCAAACCAGTTGTTCAGTGAATCGGGCCCAATTTTACAACCTTTTTGGTCATGTTTGTTAAGCAAACAAGTGAATTGCATAGTTATTAAGCAAATCCAGCTTCCTCCAATGACTTCGCTTGTTGGAAGCTGGCTGGGAAGGTTGTGAATGGTGATCACATGATGCCAGGAAGCTGCAACCATCATAAATACATGCCAATTGCCAAGCACCTGAATTTTGATCATGTGATCATGGGGATACTATGGTGGTTTTAAGTGTGAGTACTGGTTGTAAGTCATTTTTTTTACTACTGATGTAACTTTGAATGGTTGCTAAATGAACGGTTGTAAGTAGAGAACTCCCTATATATCACTTAGAAGAAACTTGTGGATTGTAGTTTCTTGTATATAATTTACCACATAATTTTATTCTCTTGGGGGTAAAAAAAAAAGTTTCACTTACTGATTGCAAAGCTCAGGCTGTCGTACTAAATTCTGAATGAATTCATTCAATCCTGCTCTTCTTTGTTTAATAAAATCTGAAAAATAAATGATCAGATATTAGAATACCTGTTTCAAAATTTAAATATATACATTTCTTAGATTACTTCATTAAAAAAGTAAAAAAAAAAAACCTTTTGCTCTTCTATTTGTAATCAGGGCTGCTCTCCAGCATTCCATAAATACCACTGGACAGGTAAAACAGATTAGATTAGATAATAAATAGACCCTTTATAAAGAAAAAAAAATATTTTGTACCAGAATGACAGGATAATAGACTTGGAAGAGTTCAACCCCTTGTTCAAGCAGAAAACCCTATACTGTTTCAGACAAATGGTTGTCCAATCTCTTCTTAAAAACCTCCAATATTGGAGTACCCACAACTTCTGGAGGCAAATCGTTCCACTGATTAATTGTTCTAACTATCAGATTTCTCCTTAGTTCTAGGTTCCAAATCCTTTAAACTATAGATTTGATGCTACAGTCACTTAAAGAAAAAGAATATAGTGAAATGGATACCACTGAATAGATACTTGAAAATTAAAAAAAAAATCTATCAGCTCTTGTTATCTTAGAATATGATAAATACACACACATTTTGATTAATATTAACAAAGTTATACATTGTCCTGTGTAGGAGAGAGAAAACCAAATGAAGTAAGTGTGGCTAGTAGGAAAATGTAAGATGGTAGGGCATCTCAAATCAGAAACTAGTTATTCTGTTAAGCTCAGTACTAAGCTATACTTGGAGGAACTGACAATAAGGGAAACAATATTATATGAAAACTGCTCTGAAACTCAGATAATGTTTTACTTAGGCTACATAGGATGCAGTAAAAGAAGTTCTATGTAATCAGAGATAAACTGGAATTCTTTTCTATGAATAAATATAACAAATACTTTAAACTTCCTTATGTAATATTTTCTAGCTTTAGCTAAAATTTTCTTCTAACTGAACTAATGCTTTTCTTTGAATATGATTGGTAAATACTCGTAAGCCTATTACATCATTTGGATGGTACAAAACAAGCATTCATATACAGTCTGCTTATATTTGCGTGTTAAATTGAGTAACGGGAAAAAAGAAAGACTTTAATTAGAGAGGACAAACACTCCAAAACTAGGATATGCTGTATATAATCCATCAGAATTTAAAACATATTATCTACATGTACTAACACAGGGGTAGTCAACCTTGGCTCTTTTATGACTCGTGGACTTCAACTCGCAGAATTCCTGAGCCAGCATAGTCCACGAGTCATAAAAGAGCCAAGGTTGACCATCCCTGTACTAACACTTTCAGATATACACTTTTTCCAATGACTGCTAATAGATTGGCACATAATGCAATGCAATACAATAAAATGCAATACAATACACTATTAACAGATGTTCCGGTCTCAATTGTGATTGTATGTTGAGGACTACAATACAGGTGGTCCTCACCTTATGATCACAATTGGGATCAGAAAATCTGTTGTTAAGCAAGGTGTTTAACACCTAATTTTATGATCTTTTTTGCCATGGTTGTTAAGTGAATTACCACAGTTAAGTGAATCATGTGTTAATTAAGTGAATCTGGCTTCCCTAATTGATTTTGCTTATTAGAAGCCAACTAGGAAATCTACAAATGGGGTATATATGATCCCAGGATGCTGCAAGCATCCTAAATGCATGCCAATTGCCAAGAGTCCAAATTTGGATCATGCGATTGTGGATGCTGCATTGGTTGTATGAGGACCAGTTGTTACTTTTTTCAGTGTCATTCTAACTTCAAATGCTAGCTAAATGAATGGATGTAAGACTACTTGTACAGTAGTACAGTACAGTACAATGCCAGTTTGGACTACTGATTCTATTTCTGCATCAGACTACAAAGTTGGAGAATATGAGTTTTAGACCTGCCTTAGCAGACTACCTATATTCAGATTCATTCATTTAAAGACTGAATTATTCCTAATTTTGATTACAGTAATAAAACTAATCACAATTTATCATTCACAGGGTGCAACTCAATCTCTCTGTTATTTCTTGAACCATGAAAGCCAGCTGGATGACTTTGGGCCAATCACACTCTCTCAGCCCAACTCAACTCACAGGGATGTTGTTGTTGTGGGGAAAATAAAAGCAGGAAGTTGCGTTTGTCATCTTGAGTTATTTATAAAAATAATAAAGGTGGGATACAGATAAATAAATAAGAATAAAATATATCTCTCAGCTACAGGGTATGTTGTATATAACCCCCCCCCTCAGTATTAACAAAATCTGCACATCAGATTCAAACAAATAAAAAAACCTCAAAAATAAACACCTCTTATATTTATATGCAAGTGAAAATACAAATATTCTGGATGATGACAGAACTACTTAAATGGAGAATTTATATTTATATTTATCAGAATTACAAAACTTTGCAATTGATTAGAATATATCCTAATTGGCATTAATGGCCATAAACAGAATTTAATGTACTAAGCATCATTCCTTGTTTTTAGAACCCTGATGCTAAATGCACTTGTGTTTGCAGAGTTCAATACCTTGATTTAAACCTGTTTTCATAATCCCTTTTCTTTGATCATACTTGCTACAATAAAATTGAGTTGGGATTGTAAACATTTGGAAGGAATTAGATTGCCTACTGTTGGTTCAGATGATAAACCACATTATTGTACATTTATATCCACATACTCTTCTATGTGAATTTCTACATGCTGTTATATAGGGGAAAAAACCTTCAAAAATGCTTAATTCAAATTGAAATTACTGATGCAGAAACAGTTTAAAGATAAAATGAGAACTAAAGGAGATCTGCTTACCAGGATCAAAATTATCTCCAAATATTCTCTTAGCAGGAATTTTCAAATTCATTGTGGGAAATTGTTTCTTTAGCTGAAATATATAAGTCATATGATATAATTTAACCTTAGAGATTACTTCAATTCTCAGTCATGATGTACAACATAACAGAAGAAATTGGTTCAGAGGAATTTCCCAAACTAATTTGAGCACAACTTCCCTACTTACTGTATTATATAGCTTGTCAAACTCAGCATATCGCCTGAAGACAAACCATTCATTAGAGCCAACTGAAACCAAGACTTTGTAGACCTGTTGATACAAACAATTTTAATAAAAAAATTATAAAAATATATGGGGTTATGTATATGTATCCCATTTGCTTAATTATCATTTAATATTTCATCAAAAGACTTAATGCACAGCTACAATAAACTGCATTCTCCAGTATGGGTCTGCTGAATACATTCATTTTTTCTTCTAAATGGATTTGTACACATGCCTGATGAAAGAAACTGAGGTATATGCAGGAACTCATCAATTTATAAAATCTAAGAGAAACAGTTCCTATAAATTAGTCAACCAACTGACAGCAAATTTATACAGGTATGATGTTTAATTTATGTGTTGGCCTATGGCTGTAATAATAAAGACTTTGACTTTGGCTGTATAGAGGTATGGAATTAAGTAATCAGTTTTTTTCCCCAAACATCTGCATTAAGAAAAATTACTAACAAGCTAGGTTAAACAAAGATTAATAAAATGTGGAATCTTTGGTGCTTTCTGTGTTTGATTGTTCACAGATGTTTTATTATTCGACAAGGTAACATCAGCAGTGCTCATGAGTGCAGGATTTGCTCACTGTTTATATATAGCAGGTTGCTCTATCAGTGCTTATTTTATTTTATTTATGTTTATCCCACCTTTATTATTTTTATAAACAACTTAAAGTAGCAATAATATTCCTTCCTCCTGTTTTCCCACAACAACAACCCTGTGAGGTGGATTGAGCTGAAAGAGTGACTGGCCCAAAGTCACCCAATTGGCTTTCATGACTAAGGGAGGACTAAAAGTCACAATCTTCTAGTTTCTAGCCTGATGCCTTTACCACTAGATCAACTGGCAGACAAGTCAGCCATCCATAGGCACATAAAGGTAAAATGACATTTACACACCATTCAAAAGACACAAAAATATTAAAAAGGAAACAAAAAGACCAGCAATCAATTCTCAGATAAACAGGGATTAACACCTGAGTTAACCCTAGACAAACAAGCAGTAAACAAAAAGAAAACTATACCTCCACCAACACTAGCAGGGCAAGCTACTATATATAAACAGAGAGCAAACCCCATATTCACTAACACTGATGTTACCTATTTGGATAATAAAACAATTTGCAAGCCAATAAGCAGGCTTGAAGAGCACCAAAGACTCCACAGATCACAGCTGTGGAGCTACAGCTACAGATATTTTCTTCTATTGGAGTTAATAAACTGGAAGACATTAGAACGCTTTCTTTAATAACCACAGTACAGTTCCATCTTAAAGACAGGAGGAACCATGTCCTTTTCTTATGTGAGCTTTTACTACTTCCTCATACCCAGAATCTTCTCCTTTTCTCTCTCTTTTTTTTTTTTTCAAAAAAAAGTGAAATTTGAAGTGTTAATAAGAGGCCTATAAGATCTTAAAGGATATTTAAGGTTTGGTCTGAATCTAATTCTATCTATAGAACTGTGCTTGGGTTTATAGCAAACTGCATTACTGACATCATGCCCTTTAAGAGCTGGGCCCAATATCTAATCACCTTCACGCATGCTAATAGTCTCTCCTGTTGTTGTACAGGTTTTTGTGGGGCTTCCCCCCCCCCAGGGAGTATTAATTAATGTAATATTTCTTTGCTATAAGTGTTTGCACTGTTTATGGTGGGACTTGAATTTTGCTCCAGGTTCTCAAGAAAATAATTTAGCCTACTTTATTGATACCATCATTTATTCATCTCCTTTCAATTGTAAAGATTTGCAGGGGAGAAAATAAGGACACGTAGCTTAATTATACAATGATAAATAGTGCAAGGGGGAAAAAAAAGACAATCTCTTCCAAGTAAAACCACTACAACTGCTTCTCCCATAGTTACCTTAGAATTATAATACTAAGAGAATTATCTGATTTATCCTAAAACCAGGTGCTTTGGCTGTATTAATGTTTTTGTTATTTCAGACAAATAAGGGCTGCAATGCAATAACAGAAAAAAGCAATATGCTATTGCCATCATGCTCCTTCATCAAGCTATTCAGTTAAATACAGTGATAAGTGAGTATTACATCATCATTATAACCTGAAATATTTGCAAATTCTCTCAAATTGTAAAAACAATTTGCTCTATAGATGAAATTAAAAAAAAACCAACGTCAAAATTACACACAAAAAACAAAAACCAGATTCAAATAAGTTATTGAAATGGGGTGGGAAAGGAATAACAGGAAACAATGAAAACAACAGGGAAGCATAAAATACCAAAATCAACAAAGAAGGGAAATAGTCTAATGTAATGTATTTGTACTTAAAGGAGTTTTTAAAAGAAAGGAGTTTTTAAAAGACTCTGTATTATTTCTTTCTGATTTTTAAATAAATAGTGCAGTAAATTTGATCTGCAACAGAGAATATCAAAATGTTTAAAGCCAATATAAATATGGAACAATATTTTAGGCTGAATTTGTTTATGTACACTACATCATGCAGTATGCATAATCATGAAATCCTTTTATGGCTCTTGGATATTCTAAATATTAATAGATTTGATTGGACCCCAATTTACAGATATGTGAAGGTATAAAAGTGAGTCTGAAGTTCATAAACTTGGAAAATGGAATCAGATCTAAGTTTTAAATAACCTGTTTTTAAAAAAAGATTATAATTGTTATTGAAAGTTTTAATTACAGTAGTAAAAGCAAATACAAACTAACCTCAGAGAGAGGAGAAATAAAAAGAATAAAAATTGCAAAGGAAGAAAAACAATAAAAAAGATAAATAGGAAAGAAATATATAAAGAAGTTATTTTTGATCTGCATGACAGGTATAAACTAACTTAATAGCTCTTTATACCCTATAAGGTTGCAAACAACTATATCTAGTCATAATCCCTTATCTATGTGCAAATCCATAAATCATCAACTTTTCAGTCCCAGTTTCATCAAAAAGTCTTTAAAAAGTTAGCAAAGTTTTATAGAAACACCTCTTATTTTAACATTGGTCAAACAAATCAACTTTATATTCCTTCCTTTTATTTCTGGCAATCTTGATCTTTAATTCATTCAAATGTTGTCATATGATTTGTCTGTTTTCCGATTCCAAAGGCTTTTTCAAGACTTTAGCAATCCTCATTCGTAAATCCAATAAAAAGTCATTACGGATAGTCCTTGACTTACAACCATTTGTTTAATGACCAACAGCAACAGCAAAAAAGTGACTTACAGCTAGTTATTTTTGATGGCATATATCACTGTCACAGCATCCTCTTGGACACGAAATCAAAATTCAGATTCTTGGCAACCACCATATATTTACATATCCTGGGATCATGTGACTGCCATTTGCAATTTTCTCAACCAGCTTTCAACAAGCAAAGTCAATGGAAAAAACTGTATTCACTTTAAAAAAATATTTTATTCATTTTTAACAATTACACTCTTTAGTGCTTACTAAACAACATGTTGTCTGGGTTCACATATTTAACCTTAACTTATTCAATATAAATCTGTTCAATACTGCACAATCCAGTGCTTTTTCCCTGATCCTCCTTTCTTCCCAAATTGTTTTCATTTTCCCAACACTATGCAAATACAATTCTTGCTACTATTAATCAAAATTGAATATAAACATCCTCATCATATTTTCTAGTGTTATACAAATAACAATAATATCAGTTTATAACCTCTTTTCTAACCAATTTATATTTCAAATATATTTGCAATTAAAATCTCCTTATTAAATCAATATCCTGTTTTTCATGTTCTTAAGTTTAATTTCCTATCAATATTCAGAATATCTTTGCCAGTTATGGTTTTCTCAAGATTAGTTACATTCTGTAGCTAAGAGTTTCATTTATACAAGCCATCCTCGTATTTTAATATTTCTCATATCAAAAAAGGTGCTATTCTAATTATAAATCATCTTTCTTATTATAAAAGTCTAATTATATCTAAGGGTTAGCCATTCTTTTAATCATATTCAAACAAATATTTAATCATATAATGTCCCCTCTCGTAAATCAAATCTTTGTTTTTTAAGTCTAGCTTTCTTCCTTTGCCAAATAGCTTTCCAGGCCAAGGCAATTAAATCGCCAACGACTTTTTCTTCTATTTTTGTGAAAGTTGCTTGGAATGATGAAGACAATTTATGTAAGGTATTTTTGAGGGGGAATTCTGCCCATTTATATTCCTTAAGCAACCCCCACTTTCCTTCTCCCTCAGCTTCTCTTTTCATTTTTTGTCTCCCCATTTCTGGCATTTCCCCTAACGGCTCTACAGTCCATTTTTAAAAATCTTCTTTCTTGTCCTCAAGTGGGTAAAGTGCCTTTTCCATTTTCATTATTATAGCTGAGTCTTGCAAGGTTTTATTTGTCTATGGCAGTTTGTATTTCCCTTCTTTTATATGTTCTGTCTTTGGATCAATTTCCTCTGATTCATCTTCTGTTTTCTGGGTTGTTTGTTCATACTTTGTAGTCATTTGGGAACTTTCTAGTTGTTGATTTAAATTAGAGATTTGCTCACTGATGTTAACTAAATTGTTTTTAATCTCCTCATAGTTTCTTTTTGTGTGGAACAATTGTCTGGAGAATTAATTGTAGCATAGAATATATCTCCTTCTGAAAAGTGTTTGTTTTTTTCTGGAAGGGTGGGGCTACAGTCCCCTTCCTTCTCATGTTTGGAGGTTTTTAGCTTCTTGGGAGTCTTTTCCAGGAAATTCAGTTGTAAAATAGTAAAGAAAGGATCAATATTTTCCCCCAGTTCCAAACACACTGTTTACAATCTGCTAGTGTGTTATTTCTTTGGTTGTCAGTAGCTGGAGGCTGGCCACAGGGATGCAGCCAGTCTTTCCCTGCCGGTTTGGAGGGCTTTCTTCAGATTGAACGGAAAGACCGCCATTTCTCCATGATGAAACCCTCTTTCTTCATCGCCTCTTCGGGGTGACTTTAGGCCAGGCATGTCAAACTGCCAGCCCACGGGCCGGATGCGTCACACCAAAACCGCACCCACCTCATTGCCAGCAATGGGGAAAAAGTCCTGGTACGTCGCACAATGTCACGTGACATTGTGAGTTTGACATGCCTGCTTTAGATTCTTTTAGGGCCCCCAGCAGGGCAAAATCGGGCGTGGAAAGCAAAGCTCTGCCTTCCTGTGTCCATATCCTACGACGTCAAACCGGAAGTCGGGAGAAACTCTATTCACTTAATGAGCACATTTCACATAACAACTGCAGTAAAAAAGATTGTAAAATTGGGGAAAACTCATTTATCTGTCTTTCTTGGCAATGGAAACTCTGGTTCCAATTGTGATCATAAGTTAAAGACTTATGAAACTGATCAAGGAGAAATTCCACCCAGAAATAAGGAGAAATTTTCTGACAGTGAGAACAATCAACCAATGGAACAGATTGCCTTCAGACGTTGTGGGAGCTTCATCACTGGAAGCTTTCAAGAAGAGACTGGACTGCCATCTGTCAGAAATGGTATAGGGTCTCCTCCTTGGGCGGGGGATTGGACTAGATGACCTAAAAGTCCCTTTCAACATTCTATTCTATTCTATTCTATTCTATTCTATTCTATTCTATTCTATTCTATTCTACCTGTATTCTATTCTATTCTATTCTATTCTACCTATTCTATTCTACCTGTATAATTCTCTTGGTTTATCATTTGCATTTCTACCTTGATTTTCAAAAGTTTAACCAACTTTTTTAATATATCCAGTAGAAAGTCTTTATCCTAGTCATTCTCTTGGCTTGTCATTTGTATTTCCATTTTACCTTCCTTTTCTGTATTATAAACCACACATTTTTATTATCCAGTATTTCTTGTCCTAATATTTCTACATTAGGTCAAATTTGTTTCACATATCCTATTAATAAGTTTTGGACATAGTCTATTTATAGAAGTAGATTTTATATTAATAACTGAATGTAAAGGTAAAACCAGAGACTTTTCTTTTAGATCTAATGGACAAAGAACTTGGAAAAAAAAGAAACATTAATGTTATATATGCTGACAGCAGCAAGAATGCTCTACATGCTCTACAAAAATGGAAAGGTACTTTAATTTCACAATGGATGACTGGCTGCAAAAGGTGAGGGGGTTAGTTGAGATGGCTAAATTGACTGCTTTGATTAAAGAAAAGAATACAACTAATTTTGTTTTGATTTGGAAACCACTTCTGGACTTGGTGCTTGAGATGGAAAAAAATAAAACTTTGATATTGGGTTTCACTAATCAGATAGATTTATTGTTATAGAAATGATTAGTATGTATTCCTATATAAAAGTAAAAAGTTGAGTTGTTTTTTATTATCTTATTCTACTGCACCAAAAAAAAGTTGGAGGTCAATGCTTTCCTTTTTTCTTTCTCCTTTTACCCTACACTTTTTCCCCTTTCTTCTCTCACTTTCCCATTATTTTCATTTTTTTGTGTATTTTATATTTTGACAAACTAATAAAAATTTGAAATGTCATACTGTAATTATTTCTAAAACATCACTACTGTCCTTATGGGATGGAGCTGTACAGTTGTGGTGCTCACAAGATAGCTAAATGTTGGAGAGTGCCTTAGAGCCAGGAGGTGGGGTTTTCAAACTTCATGCAATACATGATGCATCAGGATTGACTCAGAAGTGAATGGTCTCATCTGCCTAATGGAGAATAGCATAGGTCGTAGGATTATAGGAATATATAGCTGATTTGGAATTGAAGCCAAAGTCCTCTGTGGCAGGAACCTGAGAGAGATGGTTAAATTAGGCTTGTCTGCTCTCATTTGTGTAGCAATGAAATCTCTCCAAACTTGAGCAAGTAAGAGAATATGAAATTGACTGTACAATGAAGCACTTTCTGTTTCTATACTCACAGTAAATCTTTTTTTCTTCACTCTGTGTTCATCAGAGCTAGGGATGCTAACACTTGGACAGCTTTCCTTCAGATCCATTTTATGTTGCTTTCGAGCAAAAATTCAAGACCACCACACCAGGATGTAGAAAGTATCATCAGCATTGACTTAAAACACATAGTCGTTCTTGTGTAAACTTAAATTCCATCATGAAAACCTTAAATAAAATGAAATGTTAGAAAGGATCAACAAGAAGTGAGGTGGTTCATAAAGGCACAAAAAAACTGACTTTCCCCTTTAAAAATTCACTCCCAGCCCATATTTCTATAAAGTGAATATGGAACAAAAGTATTCATTTTTTAAAAAGACTTGGATATTATGCATGCAGATGCAAGAAACATGTTTTTAATATCTAAATATACATTCTATAGCAGACTTTTAGAACTCTGAAATATTTTTGTCATCACATATATGTAAACCGCAATATGAAATAATTATATATTTTATAATTGCAGATAAAGAACAGAATAATGAAGGTGATTTTTTATGGTTGAAGTTTTATGGTTAAACAATAAATAAATATAATCTCACTAACTTAATTCCAAAATGATAAACTTAGAATTATGTTTATATTATTTCTTCTCTTATTGTTTTTTCCCCACATAGCCCAATATCTTTAAATTGGAGAAGGGTTACTAAGACTATTTGCATATTTTCCAATGCAAATAGGATAAGATATGACAAGTGTCACCTTGTAGAAGCATCACTGCATAAACTCCTCCTTTATATAACCATGCTGGAACACTCTTGTAGAGTGGGCTTTGTATAATGATGTCACTGTGCATGCTCATGTGCTGTGAAAACACATTTTGTTCCTTACTCTGCTGGCAAAAATATGCCAACCAACCAGGCTGGGTTGTTTTCTACCATTGATGAAAGGAGACTGACTGCAACCTGCTATTGTCGACTTTTTTTTTTTTTTTTGGCTGAATTCTTAAAAATAGTAATTCAAAATAATAGTTGAATTTGTGTATAACACTACACCGTGAACATGGTTTATAAACCACCATGGCTGGGCCGGGCCAACATAACAGCCCCAAACAAACCACAATATAGTTTACTATAACATGTGAACCAGAACATTCTTTTCAGAGTCAATTTCTGCCTAATATAAAATATAGTATGTTGTCTTAAAGCAACCTGGGATTTTCCTTTGAAAAGCTAGATACTAATTCTCTTCTTATCAATAATCAATAATCCCCAATGCATAGGCTCCTAAAGTATGCACACATCAAAAGAAAACATGGTAAATGTCAAAAGACTGGTACAGTTTTAAGCTGCTAATTTAAAATATGTAGCTTGTTGATGGTATACTAATGAACATACATATATATAGATTTTCTGTCTTAAGAAAGAAAACTGTTCTTAGACTGTTTAAAATGCCAGTGTTAAAAGTCTTCTGTTGTGGAGACACTCATGTTTGTGTTGGCTATGTCAAACCATTTCAAAATCCAATTAGGATATTTTAACATCCAGTTCATCAATTATATATCTCAATGATCCATTTTACTTTGAACTATCTTTTTGGATAATGAGAAGGAAGGACTCACTGGAGAAGAGCCTAATGCTGGGAAAGATTGAGGGCAATAGAAGAAGAGGACGACAGAGAATGAGATGGATGGATGGAGTCGCTGAAGCAGTAGGTGTGAATTTAAATGGACTCCAGAAGATGGTAGAGGACAGGAAGACCTGGAGGAATGTTGTCCATGGGGTCGCGATGGGTCGGACACGACTTCGCAATTAACAACAACAACAAAATCTTTTTGGAAAATTTAACTTTATAAAACAATTATTTTAATTTAATAAAACAGTTTAAAGAATGCAATTAAAATTATATCACACAAGTGGAACAGCATCACATATATCAATTTACAAGGGCTCTAAATTTCTGTACACCTATATCGGTATGTAACCTCTTTACAAAAAAATGAAATAAATGAAATAGCTATAGCAATTAACATTGTAACCCAAACAAAGTGTTGAATTCCCATCACATTTCAGGCTCGTCTAATCTATAATATCTATCGTTTTATTCAGGTAAACTCTTAGAATAAACAAGATAGTCTATGAAAAGTTATTATTTTTAAAGAACCATTGAAATTTTCACCAATATTCCCAGTCTGTTTTGATTCATTCAGAACAAGGCAGAAAATAGCTCTCTGTCATTAAGGACATTTTCACAAATCCTACATCAAACCTTGAAAAACAGGTTGAAGGGGATCCATGATTTTAAGTTTCAATTTGAAATGCTGAGAATTACTGTACCTGAATTACTCCATTTCTACAAACAGCAAAATGCTCTCATCCTCATTCTAACAGAAAAACAAATGGAAAGGGCAGAGCAAAAGGAAAAACAAAACCCAATACTGTAGTCTGGTGCTTTCAGGGCAATTCATCCAATACTGAAGGATAAATCTGACAAAACACTTGTCAATTTTTGTCTGAGTTAGTGAGAGAAAACTGCAAAACCAAGAACGTACCACTTTCCTTGATTTCAAGCTAAGGAACTGGTTAGAGGAGGTACACAAACTGCCCTTTAATGAAGAAACGGCACCACAGCATATCAAAAACAGACAATATAATTTTAGTATTGCAAAGTCAAAACTGTACCGTAGGTTAGTTGGATATACATTGGCTCAATACTTCAATACTGCTTACGTTGTAGTACAGAGGGGTCTACAATTAATTTCAAACTAAGGCAGAATCCCTATATGGAAGATTAAATAGTTTTCTGTAGATAATTCAAGAAAGAAGGTAATCCAAGAGTAATTTTAAACACAAGTGTACACAGATCTTGCAGCATATTGGTTTCAGTAGCTTCTAGGCAGTGTATATTTTCATTTGTTGTTTCTAGCCATTGGTTGATTTAAAACATTGTTTCATTCAAATGCCACATTTTTTTAATCCTTATCACAGTATAAGGAACTAGACATTCATTTTTTTTAGTGTAAAGATAGTAGGCTTATTCATTCTTCATGAAGAAATAAAACAAGATTACATTTTACAGATCAGGGGGCTGAATTGCCAAAGAGAGTGTATTTTCTTTGCATACAAAACTATTTTGGTCATTATTTTATGTAATAAAGAACAATTTTCTTACTGTCAAACTGCAGTCCTGTAGAGAACCTCAGACTTATAAAGATTCTTCATAGGATATCCAGAATAAAACCACAAATTTACAAGAACATTTATATAGTGATAATTTATCACTGACAAATTTTAAAAATATTTGCAATTTAAAAACAGATTTTGCACTTTATATAGAAACATTTCAACGTTATCATATTAATCAGAAAGAGTAGGATATAAATATGAAAACTGAATCAGCTGACAACTAAAATGTGTATTAGGTGATAAAAACTATTACTATAGTAGTTTTTTTAATGAAACATGTTGGCAGATTAGCAGAATTAAATAATTTTGGTCTTTATAAAACAGATACATAGGCCATTTAAATACTTACATAATTTATCATTTAAATAGTTGACATACTGAGGGAAGGACAATCACTTCCCTATCCCACCCAGCTGAACAACTACAGCCAAACAGAGGTGGGCAGAGGATATCCAAGTAATTTTAAAGTTCATTGTAAAATTACTGCTTGTCAATGTCAGAAGTAAAACTTGGCTACTGAATTACAATATTTATGCAACCTGGTTTGAGACTGTGTCCGTGAATCAGAGTTAGATCTGCTCAGAGGATTTTAGATGTGCCAAGAAGCTTAGATTTTGGAGATTCTGTTTAAACATGTTGGAATAAATAAATAAATAATCTCATTTATAAAAGATTTAAAGAGCCTCTGTTTTATCCCAGGAGTAGGCTTATTTTTGACAAACGCAGGCTATTGCTCTAAATACAAACAATAATCCTCCTGCATTTAAAATTTAAGCATCAAATGATAAAATGTAAGTATCAAATAATAGGCCAAGACATTTGATGATTCTGGCAGATTGAAAAGAAACTAAAATTCATTTCTTTGGGCAGCAAAATTTCCAACTTGAGAAGAGCAAAACTAACCAAATATTTCAAAAATAAATTACTTCTAATCTATAAAGAATAGGCATACAGTCTGCTATGTAATTATCTATAATATTCTCATATAAAAATACACTGACAGCTACAGCAGAAAAGAAGTTTCAATTTGCCCTGCCTTAAACGTAAAGAAATGGAGCTCAGTGCAAACACAGGACAATTAAATACTATTTCAGGATCACATCGGTTGAAATCACATACAACTATATACCTATGTATTTATTTGTGTGTATGCTATTAATATACAAAGCAAAAGAGAGAAAAAGTCTTTAAACACATGTACTATTTTCTTCCCATGTTACAGGGTAAACATATGATTTAAATATATACAGGTGCTCCATCACTTAATCCCACTATTTAAATCGATGTCTGGACTGTTTTCTCTTGTAAATATTTCAAATATAAGCTATCAAGTTAAACTGTGAATCAATCCTCAAATAATAATATACCTTACATAAAGGTTGGACAGAAATAGACAAACGGAAATACATACAAGATCCAAATAATAACATTCCATACTTTAGGAACAATCTACAAAAGATTTTCTCATGTCCCTAGTAAAAAGCTCCCTGAAAGTAAGTGCATCTTTAGGAAGTTTATTCTACACATGGAAGCAATTAAATAAAATACTTAAGACAGTGGTTCTCAACCTTTTTAATGCCGGTCGTAAGTTGAGGACTACTCAACCGGTCGTAAGTCGAGGACTACTCAACTGGTGCAGCACTGTTTGCAGAATGGAACTTTTGGTGGCTCAGCAGGGCAGAGACAGCCTGGACAATTCCTATTGGCTTTTGAAAGCCAATAGAATTAGACTCTATTCAAGAGAGTCTATTCTATTGGTTTTCAAAAGCCAATAGAATAAAAGGGAGTAGCACAGCTAAGGAAAAGGGGAAAAAAATGGCGGACTGCGTTGTTTGGTGACCCCCGTGAAATGGTCGTTCGACCCCAAATGGGGTCCCGACCCACAGGTTGAGAACCACTGACTTAAGAGAAGGTCCAGTTCTTGCAATTTGGATCAATAGATGAAGCCAGGCAGAATAATGTAGACTGCCAAAAGTGTTTTCAATTATGTGTAATAAACAATTGCTTTCTGATCTTCACGTTAATATAATGGAAATGTTAAGG